TTAAAATTTTCAGATGTGGTAATGGTATTGCTGATGTTTCTGTTTTTGTTTAGAAATAGACATTAAGGTATTTGTGGACAAAGTATAGATAAAATAATTGGATAGTGGTATTGGATACAAGGGAGCAGTTTATATTATTTCTACCTTAAACAGTCTGTATCTTTTAAACATATGAGGAAAAATTTAGCCAGGAAAAGATATAAATGAGATTTCCCTCAAAATAATGCAGTTGGGGGCAGAGGAGGTAGAGCTGTCAGTTCTCAGATGAAATGAGATCTGTCATCACGCACTGTTAGTTGTTGAAGCGTAGAATCAGATGCATGACTTAACAAACAGTTTATAGACAACAGAAATGTACCTCTCACACTTCTGCAGGGTAAAGGATCCAAGATGGAGGGGCTGGTGGATGCAGTATCTGCAGGAGGCCTGCTTCCTCCATAGATGTTTGCTTTTCCTCTCAGGATGGGACAGGCTTGCTACTTCTCTGCCCTCGAGTGATCTTAACAGCTGCCCCCTAATGTCACTATCCTGGTTAGCAACACACATAGTGTGAGGGGGCCAGAACACTCAGGTCACAGACCCTCCCTGGACTTTTCTAGGTGACTCACATTTCACAGAATGAAATAGTTCAATAAACAGTAGAAGTAAACATGTACATATAGTGAGACATTGATTTGACAAATTGGAATAATTATAAAGTACTTCACTTGCAAAGGAGGCTGGCACTCAAAAAGGACGTTACCGCAGACTTCTCATTCCATCCTGTCTCTGGGGCTCATGGTCACAGTCACCCAACTTTTCAGGCACAACTCAGTGTGGGAGTTAATCTGCCAGAACAGACAAGCAGCCAACAGGGCAGGAATAAATCACTCCCCAAGTCTCACTGGCATAAAGCAACAGTCTTGTTTTAGAGATGTTCATTAGAATCTCTCAGAGACTTGGGGTGATGGAACATCCTGGTATCATACTCTGTGTATTGCTATGCTAATAGAAAGTTAACTTTGGAAATCCTACTTTGCAAAGAATCCGGTCTAGACATGAACGTATAATTTCTGCTCATAATTCATGTGCCTGACTCAGCCATGTGGCCTTACTCAGCCAGAGAAGGCCTGCGAATATGCTACCATTATAGGCCCAGAGGAGAAGAGAGGAGAGAAGAGGAGGGGAGGGAAGAGGGAGGGAGGGGAGTGGAGGAGAAGAGAGGAGAGCCAAAAGCATATATTCTTATAGATGGACCATCCTGGCACCTTCCCATGGTGGAAGAAAGGGAGAAAGTAAATCCAAGGGTTTTTTTTTTCTTTAAATTTAATAAGGACTCTAATTCATCCACAAGGCCTATCCCCTCATGACTGAGGCCCTGGCTTGTAATGCTACCACACTGGCCATTAAGTTACATCGCAGGAATTTGGGGGACAGTCAGACAATAGCAGAGACACTGCTCCATTTAACAGCTGATTTCAGTGGCCTGGGGCCATATAACAAGGATTTTCTTGAGAAGATAAGTGAGTAAAATGTCTTAGTCCTTTTCCTTGTTACATGAACGTCTGTAGCATAATACACAGCTCTTACACACCGATGGTTGACTAACTGCTCCAGGCCTGTTCAGAACAACAAATTCCTGATTCTAAAATTGCTTGTTAGCCTAAGACCAACCAGGAAACAAGGAAGATATGAAAACTAGTTGAGTTTCATTTGCTTTGGTATTTTCTGCACCAAGGTTATTTAAGAAAAAGGAACAGCTCTGAAAGTTCTTGTTACTAGGGAATTTAAGCCTCCTAAAGTCAAGATTCCTGTTCTCCAAATAATTAAAAACTGATGATTTAAGCCATGACCAGCTAATCTCAGGAAGAAAACTGGCCAAACATAATTGGCTTTCTGAACTGTAAAAATCACTTACAGTTATAAATTGAGCTCTTTAGAGATCAAAGCTGATATATTAATATTTTTTAGTATGTAATGATGACCCAAACCCTCCCTAGGATTCTTTTTTTTTTTTTTTTTTTTTTTTTTTTTTTTTTTTTTGGTCTTTTTCCTTTTTATCGGTACCAGGAATTGAGCTCACAACTGCCTGCTTGCAAGGCAGGAGCTTATGCAGGAGCTTATGCCGCTGAGCTAAATCCCCAGCCCCGCTTTGGTATCATTTTCATTAATATACATTTCAAATGCAGGCTTCTTCTTCATTTTAACCAACAAAGGAAATCATAGAAAATTTAATTGACCAAGACTCCATGCAAAGATCTTACAATGTTATCAACTTCCACTTATCTTTTATGCTAATAATTATGCCAGCAAACAAAATAATGACTGTATTGGAAAAGGCTAAAACCATGCAGATACACTAGGTAATTGTTCCAACTCCTAAAATAGTGTACTGCACTAAGGAAACACCTACACACAAATAAAAGGGATACAAAGCACAATTTTATTTCTTTTTTTTTATTTAAGCACAATTTTATTGCTATGTGAGAAGCATTTGAGTATTTAGTGGCTTGTTTACTTTCCTTATTATTTAGTGGAAAGCCACAAACTAATGTGTTTTGTTTTTTTTGTCTTTTTCCTTTTTACCGATACCGAGGATGGAACTCACGACTGCCTGCTTGCAAGGCAGGCGCTTATGCCGCTGAGCTAAATCCCCAGCCGCTAATGTGTGGTTCTTAAATCTGCTACAAAATAACATCACTGAGCAAACTAATATAGCTCCATGTTACAAAATAACACAAAGCCACAAACTAACTTGAATTTTTGAATGTTAACAAAGTAACATAATTTATTATAAAATGTAATTGTTTTTAAAACTGGAAAGTAATTTTGAACCAAAAAAAAAAAAAAAAAAAAACCACATAATTTTTTAAAATGCAAGGTTTAGGACTGGGGATTTAGCTCAGTGGCATAAGTGCCTGCCTCACAAGTGACAAGGTTGTGAGTTTGGTTCCTGGTACCAAACAAATAAATAAAATCCAAGATTTATGCCTTAATAACCTTTCATTTTTACTTACTGAGAGTACACATGGAGAGGGGTTAGACTAAGTTAATTGAATTAACTTTTATTACATGGTTAAGGAAATCAGTTTAATATAATAGATACGATTTAACCCAGAAAACCCCACAAGACTGTATTTATCTCTTTTTCCTCAATTCAGTTCTCTGCAGCATCTCACAATGAAAGCACCATTACATGAAGCCCAAGGCAGTCACGGTCCATAAATCAGTGCTGAAACGAGAACAAGACTCTCCTTTAGTTTTTACCTTTGATGTCAGAAATTCAGAAGTTTGGTTAAGATTTACCCACAGTGTTTGTTACTACTTTATTGTTTCTTATACATTTCAAAATGTACTTACAGATTTTATCTGAGCTTCTTGATTTTTGGCAGTTCTCACAAAATGTAGCCATGTGTTACTTCAGGGGAATTTATGTGATTATCTTGCGATTACAATATTTATTTTCCTCTGACAAGCAAACAGCAGCTCCACCACCAAGGCTGAATTGCCACACTGTGTAAGAGGGAAATCTGCCCTCGACAGTGCGCTCGTGTGTGCTGTTAGAATAAAGTAAGTGCTGGTGCTTCAACCAGGTAGTGGTCACAGCAGGGAAAATTTCTGAACTCCAGGTTTTGCACGCAGAGCACAAATGTCTACCCTCAGGAGTGCCCATTTTATTTATTACATAAGGGCTGAAAGGTAGTAGGTGATGGGAGCTCATGGTGGTAAGAAGTGTGCCTCGCTAACCACAGGGACCAAGCATTGCTTTCTGTGGGGATATAACTGACCACATGTCTGCTTCCTAACACTGGTCATTGTAGTTTCTTTTCTCTGGTTGCTTTTTTCACTGCTTGGTAAAGGTTTAATTAGCACTAATGTAGGGAGTCATGCAGAAGGTCAAAACCTAGTCCTGAGGGCCAAGGATATGGTGCAGCCACACAGAACTTGCCTAGCAAGCAGGAGGTCGTGATTTCAATTCCCAGTACCAAAAAAAGAAAGAAAGAAAAAAAAAAAACGCCTAGTCCCGGGTTCTGGTCTCACATTTGTGCATCTGGTCATCAGAGAAAAAAGGAGCCATTTACTAGGAATTTGAAGAAAAGCAGTTATGGGCAAATTAGCTTTTCGTAGTGTTGGCACTGCTGAGGTTAGACTGCAGACTTCCTGGTCCTTAAAGGAAGTAAGGGTCTTCCTGCAAGACCCCTGACAGTGTCCCTGGTCTCCGAGGGCTTGATGTCCCAGGTGCGACCACCGGAAATGCCTCCAGCCCACGGTCATTACTAACTTAATATTCATTAATGTAAGGTTTGGTTAGTAGGTTTAATTTTATTTCTTTTTACTGCTCTGCGGATCAGAAAATTAGTGGATGGTTATTACTAAAATAATAACCATTAATGTAATGTTTGGTTAGTTGGTTTAATTTCACTCCTTTTTACTGCTTTGCGGATCAAAAAATTAGTGGAATCTAAATTAAATAATCCCCCAAAGCATGAGAGATTTTGTCACACTTTGAAAAACGTGCTTAAATTACTGCAATTTGCTTTTATTGCCTTCAAAATTAAAGATTTTAATATTTGGTATTAGAAAGTAATCAAGGGCTAAAAGCTTTATATACACGAACATTACCTTTCTGCCCCTCCTCAAAAAAAAAAAAAAAAAAAAAAAAAAAACCCAAAACCAGAACGACAGTCCTTCTATTAAGTTTTGTTTTTGGTTTGGTAGACTAAAAAATGAAGTTCTAAAATATCTGTGTTCCAGGAAACGCTAAGGCATTAGTCAAATTCGTAAGATACTGACGTAACAACATGAGCATAATTAACTAGGAGAAATAAGCTCTAGAAGAGCGATGGCGGAGAGGGGGCGGGGCTGCGCACGGCCGAGCACGACAGAGCCCTCCCATTACGCGGCGCGGGGACTCCTGGGTCCCCGCGAAGCCGCTCCTCGCGCGGCCGGAAGCAGCCGGCGTCTCCAGGCCGCAGATCAGGCCGCACTTCCGGCCCAGGTTGATGTCAGTGCGCAGGCGCCGGAGCACAGACGACCAGGGAGGGGGCGTGTGCGGCCGCCGCTTCTGCGCCTGCGCAGTGTCCGGCCCGGCCGGAGGGCGCCGGCCGGAGTCAACGTCGCGCACTCCGGAGACGCCGGCCTGGGTCGCTCCTCACGTCTGCGCGACCTCGCGTCGCGTCCTCCTCAACAGGGCTGTGGGGAGGTAAGAGCCCGCTACCCTCAGGGCTGCCGTCTGTGCCTCCTAAGACTGCTGCCTGGTGAGCGAGTGTCCGCAGCACCCGCTGGCCTCCGTGACCCAGTCACCTGCCCCTGAGGCCGCTGTTCACCGAACCGTGGGCCCGGTTGGGTCGAGCCGGGTAGTGAGGAACGTTCCTGGGGGCGGGCCTGGCACCGAGGGGCGGAGTCTAATGGGCAGGCCTGGCGCCGTGGGTGGGGTCTGGCGGGCGGGTCCGGCTCTGAGGGGCGGGGCCTCGTGGGCGTAGCAGGGTGTTGCGGATGCTCACTGGGTCCCTGACCACTCGGGGGCCTTCCCACGCCGAGACGCTCTTCCCGCCGGTCGCCTCTGTTTTCTTAGGAAGAGGGTCTGTCCGAACGACCCACGTCGTGGTGATTGCGAAGGCCAGGGTTCCAGGGGTGGGTGCTGTTAGTGTGTGAGGCCAGGCCCAGAGTTTGATGCTAAATTACTCTACGTTTAAAGACTAATTTGTTGATTTGATTAGGTTCCGTCATTTGTTTGTGGAAGCTTGTGTCTTACTGACAGAGCTCAATGGTTTAATCCAATAGAACTAACTTATCGTTTCCCCTCCGGATATTAAATTATATAGTGTTTTAAAAAATTGAAAATTGTAATAAGGAATAACGAAAAGTATTTGTAATTCCAACATGTAATCAATCCTTGCTTATATTTTAGTTTTTCATTCTTTCCTTTCTTGCTTCCCTTTCTTTGTCTCTTGAATCCTCTGTCCTATTTATTTTTTATTTTGCAACAGGATCTAGCTAAGTTACCAGACTGGCCTTGACTTTGTGATCCTTCTGCCTCAGCCTCTTGAGTAGTTGGGGCATTTTCTTAATTAAATTGATAAGCTCCTATATGCATACAGTTCTAGATTTACAGAATTAAGGCAAAGGTAATACAGTTTCCAAATACCCACAGTTTAAATCTTACACTTGTTATGGTACGCTTGTTTTGATTGGTGAGCCAGTGTTCATTAGTTCTTTTTCCTTTTGTAGTAGGAAGGGGTCAAAGGTAAGGCCACTGAGCCACATTTCCAGCCTTTTTTATTTTTATTTTGAGATAAGGTCTCACTAAATTCCCTAAGCAGGGACCAGCAAACTTGCTGCCTCAACCTCCCTCGGTGCCCAAATTCCAGGTGTGCACCACCATGTTGACTTCATTAACGTGAGCTAAAGTCTATGGTTTGTTTACATTTCTTCAGTTTTTCCCCAGTTTGTCTCCTCTGTCCCTAGGTGCCCGTTCTGTTTCGGACAGGCATTCCCCTTAGGCATCTCTCATTGGGACAGTTTCACAGGCAATCCCTGCTCCTGTGACTTGGGCAGTTTTGATCAGGTGTTTTGTAGAATGTCAGTGGGAATTTGTCTCATGTTTAGATTGAGATGTTTTAGAGAAAGATGACAACAGATAAAATACCATTCTCAACCAGGCAAGGTAGCACATGTCTGTCATCCCTACATTCTGGGAGCCTGAGGCAAGAGTATTACAAGTTTGAGCCTAATCTGGGCAATTTAGCAATATGGCAAAGTAAATAAAGATACTGTGGGAATATAACAATGCAAAGGTCCTAGTTCCATCCTTAGTACTACTACTAATAATAATAGTAATTTTATTTTATTTCATTCGATACCAGGAATTGAACTTGGGACCTTGCACTTGCCAGTCAGGTCCTGTGCTGCTGAGCTGTATCCCTAGCCAGTAATTTTAAAATAAAATAATAAAAGTAAATTTCCGGGGCTGGGGCTTTAGCTCAGTGGCATAAGAACCTGCCTTGCAAGTAGGCGGTCAAGAGTTTGATCACCCCGGTACCGATTAAAAAAAAAAAATTTCCACCGTATTTCAAGGGTATATACTATTAATATAGCTTGATGCTTTTGATGTTGACCTCAGCCACCCAGTGATGCGGGAATGTTTGTCAAGTTTCTGGACTATAAAGTTATTTTCGTTTTTTGTTCCTTCCTGTCCTCTTTGGAAGGAAGCCACCATGTCAGGACATGCTACAAGAATGGAGAGGTCTATTTCCTTGAGAACAAAGAATCTACTTAGACCATGTGTCACTTTTTAGCATAGGAGATTTTTATTCTTCTCTATTTATTTATTTAGTCCTTTGTGTCAGTGTGAACACCTGTTGTTTTTATGGTTTGGGCTATAGTCCAGCACCATGGTCATTGTTGTTGCCCAGACATCCAGCTTTAACTGTTGGGAATGCTTTCTCTTGGCCTCCATGTCCCTTAACACAGTACTTCATCAGCCCCGGGTGGGCATTCACCTGATAGCTTCGGGCAGCAGCATATACTCTGCACTTGCATATCCTGCCCAGTCAGAAGTCGCCTCTCTCCCTCTGTCTCCAAGGAGCCTTGGTTCCTTTTGTTGGACAGTGGTGTTAGAAACTAAACTCTGGGGGCTCAGAGGCATACTCCACTGGGATGTCTTTACTTTTAGGTTGTGTCAGCTGACAGAGTGAGGAGAGTCATGTGGTTATGTTCACAGGTTTATCTATAATTATTTCTGTGGACACCAGTCTCCATGTAAAGCCAGATGTAAGTTTATTTTTTTATCCCATCCAGGCCACAAGCCTTTTTGGTGGTGCTACCCACACCCAGAGTGAGCCTTCCCATGTCCCACATCTGTACTAAACTAATTTGGTTGTCACACACCCTAATCCCAGTATTGCACACTGAGATCCAGCTGCCTCCAGGTATCTCCAGCCATGAGCACATGAGGCGTTGGGGGAGCATCTAGATGTGAGCCACGTCACAGGGCCCCAACTGAGTCACTGGGTTGCCCAGGCTGGACTCAAGCCTGCAGCCCTCCAGCGTGAGCTTCCCAGAGTGCTGTCAACCGTGGGCAAGCACCACCTGCCGAGATCATACAGAACAGTGTCACTGCATCGCACCATCTGCTGTGCTTCGTTTACTCAGTAGCACACCATTAATACTAAAAGCTTCTTTACTATTTCTTGTGACTTCTGCAGTTTCTAGTTTTGTTTTCATTTATTTTGGAGGGAAGTATTGTTATGTAGTACAGGCTAATCTCGAACTATGCCTCTGCCTCCTAAATGGTGAGATTACATATGCATGCCACACACCTGATTTAACTATCTCTGTAGTTTTCCTGTTCCAAAATGTAGTGTGTAAGTTCCTTCTCTTAGCATTGCAGTAGCGTGTTCCTGATAATACTGAGTAACACCCCGTTGTACGGATGTGCCATTTGTTTAGCCACATACCTGCCGAAGGACATTTGCTTGCTTGCATCTTCAGGCAGTTGGTTTTTTGATTTTTGTTTTGTGCATTTTAGGTTTAAATCACTTAGCCATTTTGAATTCACTGGTATGTAAGGTGTAAGGTTTGCATTGATCTATATTAAAATTTGCATTTTTGCACAGGGTGCCAGATTTTTTTCAGTACCCCTCATTGATGAGACCACTCTTTCTTCATTAAAATACCTTAGCATCTTTGGGAAAGAATGCACCTTATTTGTGTAGATCTGCTTCTGGAGTCTTGGCTTCATTGTTTATTTCTTTTTTTCTCTGAGAATATTCTTTGAAGTTGTTTTCTGCTTTCTAAGTCGTCTCTTCTAATACCTTCCCATTACCACCCTGGTGTGTTTTAAGCACTCCTTGGTGTGTGTTTTATCCGATCTTGGGTTTGTGTAGTGCACCCACATTTCAGTGGATATGAAGCTCTCTGCTCTGCTGCGTGAGGGGCTGTGCCTTGCTGCCCTGAGTGTCCATTAAGTGTGCCCGTTGCTGCAGGTTCACAGCCTACATTGTCGCAGCTACTCTGTAAAAGACCTTTCCTCACTTCCTGCACTTTGTTTGGGGTTCTTCACCAGGGTGTGTCTCGGTGTGCATTCCTTTCTGCTGTTTGGTTTAGTGTGCTCACAGTGTTGAATTTTCATCAGTTCTGGAAAATTTGCATGACCTTTGTATAAATAAAGTTTTTCCTGCTCTCTCTTCTCTTGTAGGACTCCACTCTCATTCTGTTGTGTTTTTGTATTTATCTCTTCATTTTTGGAAATTTCTTCAGTAGTTCTCCTAGTTAGTTCAGTTCTCTCTTAAGCTTGCATCTCTTTAACCTGTGTTTAAAGTCTTTTTGTGTCTGTCTTCCACCCTAGTCATTTCCCAAAGACAGAATGAAGAACAGCGCCGTGGCGTTTTCCAACTTCTGGATTACTGTAACCAGTTATTTTCTTTTTAGGTCATTTAACTTGTCTATCTGTGCTTGAATTTTCTGCAAACATGCAATTAGATCTGCAAGTTTGATTAGACTCAGGCCAGTGTGTAGGCAGCAGTACTTTCTGTGACGCTGTCCTCACAGATTTGTTTATGGGAAACCTGTCGCTGACTCAGCTTCGCCCATCCTCTCCCAGGCTGTGAATGAAACTCCCATCAGCCTCTTCCTCTGCCAGCTTTAACGTTCACTGACAGCCGGCGCTTTCTTCATTACCTGCATTAGGGACTAGGAAGAAACGGTTTTTAAAACTGTCGCATCCATCTGCTTTTAGTAATGAGAATTCCCCAGCCCCCAGTAATGAGAATTCTTATTCAGTCTGGACAACTTAGCAAGACGGTGTCTCAAAAGGGGGAATGTAAAGAAAGCAACTACTTTATCACTCTAAAGTATGTTTTGTAAAGAAAGGGCCCTATCATTGTTAATTTTCACAGTAATAGGTGGGCGCCCTAACAATCCTCTAATGAATAGTATTGGGTTTTTTTTTAAATTTTGGTGTCTTTATCATCTCTTAGGTTTAAAAATCTGTTTGACTTACTTTTCATTTTTGTGGTCTTCATTAGTTTGATAATCAGTTGTATTGTTGAGGCCATTCAGCATGGCCTCTTTGTCCTTCTGATTTATTCCATCCATCACTAGAGATTTCTGCAGTGTCTCAGGCGAAAGGTTCATCTACTTTATTTGGCCTTTCATAAACCTTAACTTTTAGTTTTCTCTGTAGTGTTTATTTGTATATGGCATGTTTTATGTTATTTGACATGTGGTATTTATAAGTATTTTTAGCTTTTCTTTGTGAATTCTTTGACCCATGAGTAGTACGTTAAGTGCTTTGAAATTTATAGTGGGTTTTGTGCATGGAAATGTTATTAGCGTTTTCCATAAGTAGAGTTTCTCTGCCTGAATTACAGACTTCTCAAAGAAATACAAATATAGCTTCTGTTTCTATTTCCTATGTTTCCTAGTATGGAATAGGTGGCTTAACATTTATAGTTAGAGAATTAAGCAAAATATGCTTCTTTATTTTCCAGACATACAGGAACTAAATTCTCGGTCTAGAGGAAGGATGGACAGTTACTTTAAAGCAGCTGTCAGTGACTTGGACAAACTCCTTGACGACTTTGAACAGAACCCAGGTTTGTTGGTTTTCCACTTTTGTCTCTACTAGAATTTTTATTGTGTTTGTTTGTTTGTTTTTGGTACCAGGGATCAAACTTATGACCTTGCACTTGTCAGGCAGGCACTTATACCACTGAACCAAATCCCTATCCCCTCTATTAGAATTTTTAAATGCCTGTAATTCATGTTTCTCAGGTATAGTGTTTTTAGCAAAATTTGATTTCTAATTTGGTCACATTGTCATCATCTGAAAAATGATCACTTCTGTTGTTCTATAACATACTGGTTTATTGTCATACAGAATGGAGCCAGGAGCCAGTGTAGAAGTCAGAGAACTAAAAGTTGCTTTGCAGATACAAGTTTAGCTATAGAAAGAACCTCCAAACCAACACATGAACCTGCTAATAGCAGCTTGAAAGTACGGCACAAGTTGGGTTTCAGAGACGGTATTTTCCTCAGAGTAAAGACAGGAAATGGAGCAGAAACAAGAAGACAGCTCTTTCTTGGACTCCATTCATAGTGCAACAGAGTCATGAGTGGAATTTCTATCACTCCATGACATCTATATTCAGGAGTGAAAAGCTAAAATACAGTACTTTAAAGCCAAAGAAAGTTTATTTAGCTTAAGAGTCTTAGAAAACATACTGTCTTGAGGATTTTTATTTGATTTGGGCCTCCTAAGTAACTTTGTGTCTCTGTTTTCAATTAGAGGAACAAGATTATCTCCAAGGTGTTCAGAATGCGTATGATTCTCACAGCTGTTCAGTTTCTTCAGAGTTGGCACCTTCACAGCCAGCTCCCCTGCTGCCGAAAGACCAGCAGTGTGCTCATGGTTACGCCTCCTTAGAAACACGCCGTGAGGCAGATGAGATTTCCCTCAGCGAAGGAGCACTCAAGGGACTCACTTCTCTGCCAAATGAGAAAAACGTAACAGGACTAGATCTGCTTTCTTCCGTGGATGCTGGTACTTCAGATGACATCCAGCCCTCATACATGCGATGTAGTGAGCCTGTCTGTGACTTAATAAGTGACATGGGTAACTTGGTTCATCCAACCAATAGCGAAGAAGATATTAAACAATTACTACCAGATGACTTCACGTCTAGTGCACATTCTTTGACTGGGTTGGATTCCTCTGCAGTGTCAGATACAGTTTCTATCACATCAACAGACCATGAGAATGGTCCTATTACAAAAGAACAGAGCAATGTCATCTCTGAATTAGACGCTAGAGAAATTGGTGATACCAAAGAATTGGGTATAAAAGCAGATACAGTCCCTTCAGACTCTTGTAAATACAATGAAACAGAAAATTTAAAGGATGAAAATATCTCTAATCAGTTAGATCCAGCTGATGACTCTAACATAACCTCTGTTTTGACGCAGCAGAGTTCCAAAATTTGTGATACCAAAGATAAGATACAGCCATTTAGGCAGACTGATCTTATGCAAGAGGAAATACAGCACAAGAGCCTGCCTTGTGAATTATTGAAAGATGGTGGCTTTTTGGTGAAACCAGAAGTAGATTTGGTGAAAGAAGAAATAGATATGATGGTTGCAGCTGCTCCTGAATGTTTAAAAGGAGACAGTACAAGTGCTTTGCCTTGCAAAAGTCCTCCAGAAAGTGAAAGTTTGTGCCTAAGTGGCTCAAACACAAGAGGTGAAAATTTCAAATTACCTGACTATTCCTGTCAGGAAGATAGAACCACTGTGTTTATAAAACAGTCTGCAAAAGAAGACTTGATAAATTTAGACCTTAAAGATAATGATGCAATCCACAATTCCGTGTCATCTGTACATGTTTCCAGTGAAGACGCACCCTCCTCTTTGTCCTGTTTTCCAGTACCTGGCTCTCTGTGCAGCTCATTCATTGAAAGTAAAGCACATGGTGATTGTTTACCTCAGCAGGAACCCAAGGATCCTATACAGGATATGGGGAAGGTGCCTGAAGAAACACAGAAGTGTGTTGTTCTCGACAGGGAACCGTTTAGACAGACTAATCTTACGCAACAGGAAAAATGTAAAAATACACTTCTTCAGCCAGTACATGAAGAGAAAGGAGAAGGAAAGGTAGAACCCAGGCAGATGGAAATCGGAGCTGAGGCTTTGGGTGCCCACGGTCTCAGCAGTTCCCCCACAGCTGCAGAATCTCAGCTGGAATTCTTGGGGGCTGATGCCACTGGCTGTCCTGCTGGTTGTGCTGGTCTCGCTTTCCCAGACAATGACATGGATGGGCATGACTTAGACTACTTCAATATTGACGAAGGGATGAAAAGTGCCACCCTTGTCAGTGACGCTGAGCTCGATGCTTTCTTGACAGAACAGTACCTTCAGACCTCTAACTTAATACCTTTTGAAGAAAATGTAAATGACTCAAAATCTCAGATGAATCTGATAGATGTGAAAGGCCTAGATGATAGAGATGTCAGTGATATTTATTTCAATGCAGAAGCAGGAGCCACTGGGGGAAATGACAGTATTAATATGATTTGTGAAACAGTTGATAAACAAAATATAATAGAAAACAGTGCCCTTTATGTACAGGAAAGAAGTGAAATTCTCATTGAACAAGGGTTCCTGACCAGCAAGTCGGAGGTGACAGAGGAGTTAGCAGTCTCTGATGCCAGCAGCCAGTCTGTGCATGCTGGAGGGGCTAGGCCTAAGCAGTTTGCCAGCCTTGTGCCTCGAGGAAGGGTTTCTAAGGAACCCAGTAAGCCAGGAGTTCCAGGCACGCCAGAAGGTGAGCCCAGCCCAGTAAACGCCATCATGCCCAGCCAATGTCCCACTGACTCTGCAGGGGATTCTCAGGCCAACTTCGACTCCAACTACATTGATATAGAAAGCAATTTTGAAAGTGGGTCCAGTTTTCCATCTGCACATGAAGACTCTCTTCCTGAAAACACTTGCAAAGAAGGCTTGGTTTTGGGCCAGAAACAACCTACATGGGTTCCTGATTCAGAAGCTCCGAACTGTATGCATTGCCAGGTCAAATTTACTTTTACAAAACGGCGACACCACTGCCGAGCATGTGGGAAAGTGAGTTATAAAGTCTTCATCTTCTATTGGTTCTGGGGATCAGACCGAGGGCCTCAGGCATAGTTGAGGAGTGCTGTGCGGTGAGGTGCGGCCTCAGCCCAGCTCTTCTGTACTTTGAGGTGTTTTCAGTGAAATCTAAGGACAGGAAAGGCTGATGAACAGAAGATGACATGGTTGTGTTTAAAACTTTTTTCACCTCACAGTCATCGTGGGAATCAGTGAAGCACTCCCATTTCACAGGCCATTTGATGGTTGAGTGAATGTTGTATTCTCATGGGTCTTTGAGGAACACTTACTAATAAGCTTTGTGAAACCTAGAACACTGTCCTTAGCTCTCATATTGACGTGGCAAATGTGACTACAGTCAGGTCCCTTTATCCTTAAACACTTAGCTTAGGCGCATGCTGCAACTGGTGCTGTGATCACTTGGCCCTGGGAACACCTAGCAGTGCGTGGCCCTTGCAGTGTCTGACCTGGAAGCAGGCTGCACCGTGTGTGACTGCCCTGCAGCACTCAGCAAATGTGGAGCTCTCTACAGACTCTAAGGAAAGTGCCTGAGGAATAGGGGTGCACTTTTTACTTAGTGTTTTTCACTAGCATGTTGGTTCCAGATCATTTTCATCTTTAGCAAAGTAATACTCATTCCCATTCTAAGTAAAGAACTACAGGAAACTTTAAAATATTAAACTTACACCTGGAAGTTTTTGTTCTCTTTTTAATGGGCAGAATTGAATTAAAGGGGTTGTTATCAGAGATACGATTATGTCACAGAACCACATTTAAGTGAAAAAATCATTTAAGAATTTTACTTACGTTGGTAATTACAGGAAAATACAGTGGTACCTTGGCTCGCGAACTTCATTTGTGCAGTGCTTTTTTGGAAAGATGGCCACATTTATGTTTGTGCAGGAAAGAGTGCTGTGGTTGTTTGTCACCCAGTGTGGAGTTTGGAAATGAAAACAATTTTGCCAAACACTCCTGATCCTGAACCAAGTTGTTTGCAAATAAAAGTGTTCATGAACCAAGGCTCCACTGAATCGTAAAGCAAAAGGGTTTCAGTTAATGAGGTTTGGGGTTTCTAATGTGTTTCAAGTAATGTGCTTGAAACAAGCACCAATTTGGTATTTCATTCTTTACAGGTATTTTGTGGGGTCTGTTGTAACAGAAAGTGTAAGCTGCCGTATCTAGAAAAGGAAGCAAGAGTGTGTGTCATCTGCTATGAGACTATTAGCAAAGGTGAGTGTTCATTTGACCTGTTTCGTCCAGTGATTGAATATGTCTTGCAAACGACCGGATTGTGACAAAGATGAACTTCTCTATTTCCTCAAGGCAAGGACCTAGTGTTGACTTATCTGGCTTAGGTGGGACTCCCAAGGCTTGGTTTCTCTTCTTTTTGTTCCACTCTCACAATTAACACTACCAGTCTGCAGAGGAAGCATTCAGTTTCTGGAGTGGCAGTTCATTACCTTTTAACAGGTACCAAGTCCTTCCTGCTGCGTCTCATCTGCCTCTTTGTTTTGTCATCGTTGTTGTTGTCCTCATCATCATCATGAGCCGACCATTTATAAAGTGCCTATCTGTAAACAGTGCTCAGTGTTGTATATTAGTGGCATGAGGCAAGAGGGTAGTTCTACCCTTTAGAAATAACCTGGACTGAAAGAAGATCAGGCAGGAGTTGTCTCATTCTTTGAGCTAATGGGACCACTGCCTTGTTGCACCCGTCTGTCTCCTGTGTCCTGTGTCGCTTCCCATCCTGTCCCTAGCCCCTAGCTAGCTTGCATTGTCAGCTGTAGTCCTGGGGTGTCTGTGTTCTCATGGACTGTGTGTGTATTTTCCCCCTGAATATGTTCTTTTAAATACTGCTTGCATTTTCAAAGATTGCTTGACAGTTAATTCCCAGAAAGTATTATGTGGGCTTTTTCTTTTTTAACCAGACCCGTGCGTTATTCGCTCAGGCACTTCTTCCTGCTAGTCAGCAGCACAAATACGTGGTAGCGGTCTGTTTTTTTTCTTTTGAATGAAGATAAACATTTTCCATCACTTCTCCAAAAATCTGTGATATGAGTCTTAGCCTGAGGTGAGCTGCTTTCCTCCATGGTGTTGATGCGTGTTCCAGAAGGTGCCGGAGTGCAAACCTTTACAGCTTCACCAGCGTTGCTCAGAGAAACAGGTTAGGATAAGTGCCTCTGGTGTTCTGTTTGTTTTTGTGCTGGTTCAGTAGCCTCATAGGGGACTGCTGCTGTGCTGTTTGCCCAGGCAATCTGCGTGAATTCAGAAATTTTAGAGCAAGTGCCCAAATGATTATCTCCTCCACTTAAAAAAATAAAGGTAGAGATTGCATGTATCACTTGAGTTGACAGGTCATATTTTGGGGGGAGCATTAAGACATATTCTGACCATAGCGTCCAAAAGGGGAGAGGATGTAGCCATTAAAGAGATACAGAATCCTGGTATCAGACTTTGGTTTGGTGAGGAGATTGTGGAATGGGTTTATTTAGGCACAGCCTTTGTTCTGTTACTCCTTTTGCTATAGACTAAAGTTGCATGTATGGGACTATTTGTAATTAATTTGTACTGGCTGAACATGGAAGAAGTGACCACATAGTGTTGCCTGATGAGAAAAGAAAAGTGATTCAGGGGTCGTGAAGGAACGAAAGTGAAGATTGCATAGAGTGTGGCTAACAAGACCCTCTGAGACCATATGCGTTTAAAGGGACTGTGCACGTTAATGCCACTGAGTAGGTTTGGGGTGAACTGGAGATGACTTCAACACCCAGAGTGGAAGGCATGTGGATTCCCTTGGTCAGTGGGAGTCCTTCCCATGCATGTGGTCACTGACTTCAGCCTCAGCAGCACTGCCAGCAGGCAGGTATGTGCAGGAGTGCTCTCCATCTGAGGGTGGCCACCCTGGCCCTATGGAGCTTGTGGACAAGAGAGGCCCTCAGATGGTGCTGATGCCCTTGAATGAAGCTTAACCTTCGAGGGGCTGGTGACATGCGGGGCAGGGAGGCAGCCAACGCCCAGCCCCGCAGGAGACACGGAGGCAGAGAGCAGCCATCCACGCATCAGTCATCTGTCACCTCAGAGGAACGCCCTCTGGCTGGGCGCAGCAGTGGTTCCAGGCTGTCCACTGGACCCTGGCAAGCAGATAGGACGGTGACCGGGCAGCAGCAGAAGGCAGGGATGGAGATTGTGTTGGTGGTGGATCATTTTAACAACTCACCTTTCCCTCCCCTTAGGAAGCCTTTTGTTTTCTTTTCTTTTTCTGGTGCTGGTGCACCTGTGCACTGGACCAGTCCCCTGCTCTGAGCCACATTCCTGGCCCCATTAAAGGGTTGTCAGCTGGGCAGCCACAGGACATGGGTCTGACCCTGGAGTGCACGCCAAGTGTGCCATGGAGGCGATACGGCGGGTCGCTCGGACAGTGTCTGTGCCAAGTGCCGCCTTTGGTTCCTTTCTCTGTAATTTAAAAGATCAAGTATTTGTCACAGTTTACCTGGAAGCTCAAAACCCTCTTGAGATTCTAATGCTGTCCTCTCCCTGTCTAGCTCAGGCCTTCGAAAGGATGATGAGCCCCACTGGCTCGGGTCCTCAGGCTCATCACCCTGGTGACGGTGCTGCTGCCCTGCTCCCTCGAGAGACCCCCACCAGTGTGTCTTCACCGACAGCCTTGCCCACCTCGGCACTGAGACAGCCAAGCATCGAAGGTAACTGGAAGCAGATAATATATGCACATAGAAAGTGTCTGGTGTCATCAGGAACCGGGCAGCACAGAGAAAGCGGACAGAGTCGCAGGAGGGAGTTGGTGCCAGGAATCAGTGTGTGTGTGTGTGTCGGAGGGGAAAGGAGCAGAGAGCGTGCTCAGATGTCCCCGAGAGGAGTGACAGAGGAGTGGCACCATCTCTGGGGCAGAGGGCCACACGGGCAGTGGGCCGGGTTCCCGAGTTTGGACTAGAGTACTTAGGGGATGCTTGACCTTCAGGCTGGGGAGGCAGAAGTCAGAGCGTCTCAAGGCTGAAGCAGGGACCACACACTATCCTGGTTGATGCTGGGAGTATGCATGTGGTCCACAGTGCCCCCGGCAGGGTCCTAGCAGGCTGCTGATGTTGGCCAGCCAACTGTCGGAGGAGCTAGGAGCCTCCCAGCTCAGCCTCTCCCCCGGGTGCAGCATGCCAAGAGCGTGCAGGGCCTAGAGATGCCAGGAAGTAACCAGCCTACCTCCTGTGCTCTGGAAATATGTTTCATTTCTTTCAATTTTTCATTTATTAATTTATTTTACCACAGTAAAATGTTTTAAATCTAAATACTCTTAAATCTTTGAGTTACATGGTAGTTTGTTTTTTGGGGGGTTTTTTTGTTTTTGTCTTTTTATCCGGGATCAAACTCACGACTGCCTGCTTTCAAGGCAGGCACTTATGCCACTGAGCTAAATCCCCAGCCCCTAATTTGTTTTTTTTTAACAACTGCTTCTCTTTGAGACTCTTGAGTGAAGCCCACTTAAACATCATCTGAGGACTGAAGACCGTAATGCAATAGGAAATGAAGGTGCACATCAGCTCCGGGCAGCTGGGGGTCCTCTGGCAGTTACTCTGGACTGTATCACTCCATAACTTTACACTGTAACTGAAATAAGGAGTTCAGCATCCACAGTTGTGTATCAGAGCTCTAAAGCAGAATAAATGTGTGTCTGGAAAGTATATCCACAACCTAAGTTATTAAAGTGTTGCAGATGCAAGGAAGATACTTCTCTAAAATGTGTGAAGTTTTGCTCCACATTATATGAACAAAATGTGTTTCACTTCCCTGTTAAATAAATCACTCTTGAATGTACCACTGATCCTGTTTCATGCTTTAGACTTTCTCTTCTTCAGTGGTTTCCTTTGTCGTCTGCTGTGTTCTGATCTCTGCTTCTCAACGCTGTGCCTTAGTCCTTTCATTTTACTCAGCCCCCGAGACGTGGGCACTGAGGCTTCCAGGGTTCAGGCGTGGGGCCTATGCACCACATTGGAATGTAGGATCCCAGGGCCCCCAGCCATCATGCTTCCTGTGTCCATGGTTCATAGAAAAGACCTCCACTTTGGGTAACAGATGCTGGAAAGCCTTTTCTCTAGGCCTTTGGGCCTGAGGATGCTGGATGCTCCTGAAAGCTTTCCCAGCCACCCGGTACCACATGGTTGCAGTGCAACAAGACTGAAATGGTTTACTGTCCCCTGATTCTAGGACTGGGCTCCAGAGAACAAAAGAGAGTGTGGTTTGCAGATGGCATCCTGCCTAACGGTGAAGTTGCAGATACAACAAAACTGTCATCTGGAAGTAAACGGTGCCCTGAGGACTGCAGTCCTCCCTTCTCGGATGTGCCCATGGTAGGGAACAGAGGTCTCCCAGCAGTGAGACAAGATCGCATGTGTGGGTCGTTACCAGGCCTGTCTCTGAATACTGGGGTCCTCTGACAGAAGGAGGTACGGGCAGACCTTGCGTCGTGCTTCGTGGGTACTGCGTTAGTCCCCACATGGAGGAGGCTGGGCAGCCCTGTGTGGGAGTCCTCCAGCACTGTGTCTCCAGGTCAGACCACCGCTAGTGTTTTGTGTTTAGGTATGTAGATGTAGAGCTCCCGCACAATAATGAACCACAGCGGAGAGAAAACACCATCCTTCCCCATGCCAGGAAGCCCTTTAGTGTGACTGACTGCGGCCATCTGGGATGAGCTTCGTGTCCCTGAGGACTGTGATCCAGTGCACTGAGCATGTGTCAGAGGTCACCTTTGTTTTTCTTTTTCTTTTTATATTAGTTTCAGGCAATGATTTTTCAAATCTTTTGGTCTCAAGATTCCCTTGTACTCCCTTATTCCTTTTAGAGAAGATACTGAAGTTCTCTAAGAACCAAAGGTTATACTTTAGTTAATAATTATTACTTGTAGGTTTAAAATTAAAACTGAGAAAATTAAAAATGTTTAATTAAAAAATAAGAAACCCATTACATTAGGAGAAATAATATTTTAGGAGACAGAATATTTTTAGAAACCAAAGCAGCATTATTTTATGTTTTTGCAAAATTTTTTTCTCTTTTTGTGCTGTTGAGGGTTAAACCCAGGGCCTCAAGTATGCTAGGCAAGTGCTTTCCCACAGCTGCACCCTTAACCCTTGTAAATGTCTTCAGTGCGTGACATAGTAGAAGACAGAGGCTCACGGTAGCTTTACGTTTAGTGTCCTGGTATGTTGCTTTTATTATATGAAGAAAAGGCTAGGGTCTCATCAGTTCCCTAAAAAGACCTTGGGGACCCAAGATCTCGGGACTGCATTTGAGAACCACTGCAGTAGAGGAATGTAACTGAGATTTGGTAACTTAGACGCATGGTGATTAGGTGGTTTTTCAGACATTCAGAAGAGTATCTATGGGGATAGTCATGCTTGTATTTGCGCAGATGTGCTGGGTTTAAATAGAAGGTGCGCCATGTGTGACACTAGTACACTGGTGAGTAGGCGTTCCTTAGCTTGTGTGCTCTTCACCAGCTCCTGCTCGCAGCTGATGGTTCAGTGGGATGAAAGCTCTTAAGTGGGCCAGGAAAAGTCACCTGAGTTCATGAGTGTTTTTCAAGGGGACAGTTGGATCTGGCTAGTCCGAAAAGGACTCGGTGGATGGTACATTGTAGGTGGTTGCTACAATGGGACATCTCTTCTTCCCTGCTTCCCGTCCACTGCCCTCCCTCCTGCCCCAGCTGTCATGAAGGCGGAGGACAAAAGTGCTTCTTGAGTGACTGGCCTAGGGCCCACAGCTCGTGCCCTTTCTGGGCTGTGATATTACAGGCAGCAGCCCCCTCCTGGGTGTGCGGCACTCCTCAGTGGCATCAGCCCTAGAATCAGCTGTGGATGGCTCTGTTTCTTGAGAGATATGACTGTAGAATTTGTGAGCCCATTCTGATTTTCATGATGCTGATTAAGATACATTCACTATGGAAATGAACATTTTATGATTGAACAGCATAAAGTGATTTAATTTTTTATTCTGTATTTTACAGATGGTAAACACAGTGGACCCTGCCCTTTTTACCACACTGCAGAAACCAGACGATGAGCTCAGAGGTAGCACAGGAAGCAAGGACTTTGGGAGTCCTGTTTCCCACATTCCATCTGTGGAAAACCAGCTGGCAAGCACAGGAGCTGATGGGTTATCTGCTTCTGCTACCCTGGCTGATGATGTTTTTGCAGAAATAGAGGCAGCTTGCAGTTCTCCAGGGGTCGCTGGGAACAGCGTGTTACCTGTGGCTGGTGTTTCAGACTACAGGTTACTATGTTATGTGGACCGACACGTTGCCAGTAAGGTCAGCCTCTTACCTGACGATGAGGACAGCTTGCCCCCCCTTCTGGGTACTTCTGGAGAACAGGGCTCAGGTAGGCAAGCCCCTACTTTCAGTTTTAAAAAGGCTTTTAGGAAGAGGCTCCTGATGAATGTGTCTGCAAAGCAATTTTTATAGCTTACACAGTTTTGTTATATGTACTAGGGATGATAACTTTATTTTACAAAGTTACTACATAAAAGCAAACCCTAAAGGACTTGAGCTTTTATGATTCTTCACATCCGTATCCCTAATTTAGAATGAGTTAAAATCCAATGCAGTCAGAAATGCAGACTTTCAAAAGTGTTCCCACTATATTAGTATTTTTGACTCTGTCTTTTTCTGAAGAAGAATATCCAAAGAAAAAGACTACCGAGGAAACCAGAAATTTTAGCCAGGAATGGTAGTACACCCTTGTAAGCTAGCGTGCTGGCAGGTTGAAGCAAGAGGATTGCAAGTTCAAGCTGGTTAGCTTAGCAAAACTATTTCAAAATTATAAAAAAGCTCTGGGGATATAGCTTGATGTGAATGCCCTGGATTCAGTCGTCAGTTCTGCAAAAAAAGGGGACAGGATTTTAGTTCCTCATAATGGCTAAGTTTTTTAAGTTGGAGATTCTGGCCAGCTCGTACCCAGCGTGGTCCATGAGTTAGACGCCTGTCCCTCCTGGCTTCCACTGCATCCTGGTGCCTGTGCCATTGGCCGTCTGCATGATGAGGAGCGCCATGTAGGGTATCACTTCTGTTTGGAGGAGCTGGTTCAGGAGCCCAGCTTCCTGACCAAAGTACATAGATGCTTCATTCTTCAGGTGTTGATTGCCATGCTCCTGAGTTTTGTGGTTTTGTTTGTTGCCACCTATCACCGACATAGACATGCAGCAGTCAGCAGCATGTGTATCTTGGGTCTAGGTTGTCACTGGCTTATGAATTTTGAAAATTAGAATTCGAATGACCAACAAAGTAGAATCCATTTTTGACAAAAGTGTTTTAAAGCTTGAAAGTGCCATAGTTTTATAATTGTGCTAATCATTGTGTTGTATATATGCTGTATGCAATGTAATTGTCGAATGTATGGCTTACAGTCTTAAAAATCTGCTGAATGGGAAAGTAAAAAATTAGTATTTAACAGTAGTACAAGATGTTAGTTGACCTAGGAAGCATGTTTGCTTTTGTTTTTAAACTTGCTCAGGCCCTTGATATGTGCGTGTAGTTTCTTGGGCTGTAAGCTTATGTCGCAGGTCACTGTCCAAGTGACATTTCCCTTCTGTTCAGTGCCAGCGGTGCAGGCCTACCCATCTCCCGAGCAGGTCCACTCACTTCTGCAGAGCGAAGGGTTTCCTCCTGCCACCTTTGTCTTAAATGCCAACCTGCTTGTGAACGTCAGATTAATAGTTTGTGAGTAATGATTTATCTTTCTTTATCTTTCTTTTGCTTGGTAAGCAGGACTTCTAAAGTAACTGCATCTTGAAGTTAGATTTTGACTGGAAACAGTGAAAAACAAGCAGGGTTTGATACTGGCTTTTTAACCAAATAGACTGCAAATCCAACTGCAAGTGTGTATTCAATGGGACTTGAGTTTACAGGTTCTTAGTGGCATCTAAGTTGAGGCCGCGGGCTGGTAGCTAAGGTGTATTTGATACATATTATTAGAGAAACTTTCTTACAGCTTTTAGACAGATCAAAATCTGGTAAATGAGCTAAGCAAGGATAGTTTCTTAGCAATAAAACAGTCAACACCATGTGACTTAATTAAAACTAGGGAAGTAATCCTCACCACTCAGATGCATCTGCAAGCTTTGCCTGCTCTTCGAAAGTAAAGAAGTTTATAACCCACTACACTCAGCACATTAGTGCATCTTCTTAGTATCCTTGTTTCATTCTGTAAGATAGTCTTTTATTTTCTTAGGTAAATCTTACACAGTTCAATTTAAGGTTTTTATCAAGAGAATTTTGGGAATATGAGGGTCGAAAAGTGCTTTATGCAAAAACAGTGTTCAGTATCTTCAGTTAACAGAAGTTCACATTTATACTTGTATGCTTTTATTGCACAGATTGCTCAGATAAATATTGGTACTTCTCAACCAATGGACTGCATGGCTTGGGCCAGGCAGAGATTATTGTTCTGTTGCTGTGTTTGCCAAATGAAGATAGAGTTCCCAAGGACATTTTCCGGCTGTTCCTCACCATATACAAGGACGCACACAAAGGTACAGCGCTGTACCATGGACTGTGCCAGAGAGGGGGTGGAAGTGTCCCTGGTGCAGGCTTCTGCCTGCTGACTGCACTGCAGATGCATTTGTGGCATGAGTTCAGATATCTTAAAGGAGGTTGACCATTATTTTTAGGTTCCTTGTAAACTAGCACTTTATGTAATTAGTTTACAGGTTTGTTTAATTTTACAATTGGGAATATATTTAACTCCCTAATTTTTAAATATATCTATACTGTTCTTGCCATCTGTACAGGTGGGGGCACATGATAATTTTTCTTATCATGCAGGAAGGAGGAAAACTTAAAGACATCTGTGGTTGGAAACATTTTAAATTTTGCTCACAGTTCCCAGTATCTGGGAATAACTTGAGTTTCACTCAGAGAGTGTATTCAACAGATGCATCTTTAAAAGTAAGAAAAGAAAAGAAAATGGTACATTACCTTTGATTTACATTGGGACATCATACTCTGAGCATTTCATCACAACAGTAATAAGGGAACTTAACATCTGTTTACTAATTTTATTTCCAGGAAAATACATAGAAAACTTGGACAGCATTACCTTTACGGAGAGTTTCCTCAGCAGCAAGGATCACGGAGGATTCCTGTTTATCGCACCCACCATTCAGACGCTGGATGATCTCCCATTGCCCAGCAGCCCTTTCCTGTGTGGAATTCTTATCCAGAAGCCAGAAATTCCTTGGGCAAAAGTTTTTCCTATACGTTTAATGTTGAGATTGGGTGTGGAATATAAAGGTAAATTTTAGAATAAGTTAGATTATATATTTGAAGTATACTGAGTGTAAAGTAAGAATTTTAGGGAAATTGTTAAAGTGTAATTTTACCAAATTAATTGAACTTTATGTTAATTTGGTATATTTTTGTTTTTCCTTGATTAGTAGGGAATTGATCTCGAGGGCAATATGCCACCAAGGTGTACCCTCTTTTAAATTCTTTTTGAGACAGGGTCCTGCTGAGTTGCCAGAGTTTACAGTGCTCTGAACTCAACCTCCCTACCTTGTGTACACCACATTAGTCTAGATACTACTGTGTTATGAAGTGTCCAGACGATTGTAAATTAAACTGTAAATGTTTTTTTATTTCTAAACAGGGCATTTTGACAGTATTACTTTTGTTAATTTTTTTTTAAGCATGGTACTTGTATTTTCGAGAGTTCATGTTGCCTGTGTATTCAAAAGATAAATTATCATCCCTGTTCGTTTATGTCATAAACTAACACAGAATTGTTGGGTTGTTAGTGCTGTTGTGTTCACCTGCTGACTGTACTCAGGCATCACCTGTTTTCAGAGAGGGGAATTCTGTACCTAAAAATAGTGGTCACCATTTTCTTAAGCTTTAAGTTATGTCCAAATCATTTGTAGTGTGAATTTTTTCAGAATTCCTATGTAGGTTTATCCTTGACTTTTAAAAGAAATAATAATTATGCATTGCCTATGCAATACATTAGATATAAAAATGGTTATTGTGTCAGGGTGGGCAGTTTAAGTGAATTCTAGAATGAATCCCTCTGTCAGATTTTATTAAAATATGTGATTTTGTAGATAGAAATTCTTACCATTTAGGATTTAAGTACATTATTCTGTTACTTTGTGTAGAGACTGACAGCCCAGATTCTGCTGCATGTAAACCAAGAGATGAAGATATTTTGTTCTGTGCTTTCTCCTGCGTTCAGCCTGATGCTTGTTTTCAACAGTAATAGTGCAGGCTGTCCCTTAAGGGCAGTGTTTATGGAGGGGCAGGGCTGGCACAGGCGCTTGTGCCACATCCTCCTGGAGCGTAGCCTGGAAGTACAGCCAGGACTTGACACTGGCACTTCCGGGTGGTAAGGCTGGTTTCTTCACCCGGACAATGGAGAAAGGAAGGAACGGCGCAAAGGGCTCAGGGGTGCAGGCTCAGAGATAGCACACAGCTGCTGGGGGGCAGGAAGGGGCACTGCCAGTCAGAGCTGGAGGCGCACGCCTGGGCTGCTCCCCATGTGCTTGGAGGTTTGGAAACGGCACTTGAGTGTGAGTGGCACCTGCCCTTTGCGGATGACCTAGGGGGAAAGTTAATGACAGAAATGAAAGGCCAATGGGGCTGGGGATTTAGCTCAGTGGCATAAGTGCCTGCCTTGCAAGCAGGCAGTCGTGAGTTCGATCCCCAGTACCGAAGAAAAGGAAAAAAAAAAAAAAAAAAAAAAAAGAAATGAAAGACCAAAAGTGGCCGTCTCAAATTAGGACCTTCCCGGTGAGGTTTATCCATCCTTCAGCATTGAGGCAACCTGTTGGGAACCCTGCTAACCGCGGGCCGGTGGCCAGTGATGTCATTTTGCACTCATTGTGCCTTCTGAGCTGCAAGTGCGTGTGAGCAGCCTTCCAGCGACATCCCCGGGAACAGTTGCAGAGGCTTAGTGAGGAGTCGGTCTTGACCCTGCTCCCGTTCTTTCCTATCTTACCATCTTTCAGCTCTGTGTTGATGTCTCACATGTTTTCCCGTCTAGACCTTCTGTCCTCCTGATAATCTAGCCTGCCGTTGTAAAGTTAGAAAACACGCCTTTGCTCTGACCGCAGCCTCTAGGCAAAGTCAGAGTATGGTGTTTTCAAGACACTTGAGCCAGAGTTTCTGTGCAGCCCGTACTGGAGAGGCCGGGCCTGTGACTTCAGCTGGGCACTGAAGCTGAGACTGTCCGTTTCCTCCTCATGGAGCATGGGCCTGTCTGCCTTCTCTCCCCCTGCTCCCTCAGTGCCTGCCGCCCCCTGCACTGGCAAGGTGGCCATCCTCTCGGGGGCGCGCAATGGGTGGACAGAGCCCTGGGGAGGGGAAGTGTGCAGTTAGGTGGCAGCCCCACGCCTGTCTCCTGCTTGACTGGACTGTTGTGAGCTAGCGTGTGAAGCCCTGTGTTTCAGCTCTCACTGGTAGGGTAGAGTCATGCTGCAGGCTGCAGGTCTCTGGAGGGGAGGGTGGGCGCCACTGGCAGAGCCTGATGGCTGCACCACAGTGAACGTTCGCCCTGAGAGTCTCCAAGGGAATGTTGGGCCGTTGAGCTCGAGGCTTTCTGGTCTTCCTCGATAATCACCAGGTTTTCTGTCTTGTGTGCAGCGTATCCTGCTCCTCTGACAAGTGTCAGAGGCCGCAAACCTCTTTTTGGAGAAATAGGACATACTATTATGAACTTACTTGTTGTAAGTAATTGACTATTTCATTAAGTATCCTTATACTGTTACTTTTTGAAATTATTTAGCAGATTTCAGAGCTATGTTTTCCTATTTCAATTCAGCATGATTGGTATAATGATGGCTAATCCTAATAAATCCTAGCTCATTTAACATAAATGGGCTGTTTGGATGAGTTACTTTTTTAGAATATAGTAGCTCCTCTTTATACGTGCCTGATTCTAATTGCCTTTTGATTAATTCTGTGGCACTTATATATTTAGATAATGTGAGACCTCTACACAGACCTCTAAAATTAGTGAAAGTGTTATTTAAATCAGTCTGTTTTGTGATTTTGAACAAATTACGGCTTTGGTTCTCATTTATGGTTGAGGGTTGATTTGGAAGTCTCCCTCCCACCTGTAATCTGTGTAGTTTTATGTTTATCTGTTACTCTGGGAGGACCTCAGTGAGCTTGTTTTTTTTAACCCCTGCCTGGTTTGAAGACTGGTAGCCAGGTTTCCATTACTGTGACAGAGCACCCATGACAGTCTAGATGGAGGGAGGGAGGGAGGCAGGAGGTGTGTGCTCACAGATTAGAGTTTCAGACATGGTCGTCTGGCCCATCACTTGGGGCCCATGGTGCCCAGCCTGTTGTGGCAGCAGAGGCCCATTTGCCTTACAGTTACCGGGAAACACAGAGAAGCAGACAGCTACAGCCAGGAGTCCCCTGTTCCCTTCATACCCCCACAAAACCTCAGCTCCTTCCACCCTGCTCCCCAAGGTTCACTTACCTCCCTAGTGTCCCATGCTGGGATCAAACCCCCCGCCCCGCAGGCCTCTGAGATGTGCACACGGCCTGTGGTGCAGACCTGGCTGCCCTGGAAAGTCTATGCCTGGACCGGGGCAGCCCCAAGACTGCAGAACCCCAAAGGCAGTGTTCTCTATGCTGCTGGGAGGTAGCCGGGGTGAGGCCTTTACACCAGGACCAGCTTCCTGGATAGCATCTGAGAGCTCTGGGTCAGATGCCTTAAAATGGCAGGTTCTGAATATTTAAGGACAGTAGTTTAAGGTTCATGAACTATGATTTTTTTTATGTAGGATCTTCGAAATTACCAGTATACCTTGCATAATATAGATCAGCTGTTGATTCATATGGAAATGGGGAAGAGCTCTATAAAAGTACCTCGGAAAAAATACAGTGACGTAAGTATAATTGTGTTATTCAGACCAATGCTGGGTGTTAAGAGTTCTGTAAAATTGTGTCAAATTGCATTATTTGCTTTGAATTAGGGCTACAAATAATGTTTTTGAAATTTTTGAATTTGTTTAGTCCTATTTTTAAAATGTTTTTTCCCTATTGTTTTACCTGCAAGTGGGGGTGGATTTATTTTAAAACGCCAATTTCCATCCCACTCTCAGAGAGTGGCTGAGACTGAGGCCTGGTGATGATGAAGTGGGGCTGCACCTGGCTCCTAGACTGGGCAGGAGAGAGTGTTGCCTCACACAACCGGAGTGTCATTCCCAGGTGATGAAGGTGCTGAATTCCTCTAATGAGCATGTCATCAGCATTGGCGCGAGCTTCAGCACTGAAGCAGATTCCCACCTGGTCTGCGTGCAGAGCGACGGCACCTACCACACACAGGCGAGTAGCGTCCCTGGCCACCCACGGAGAGGTGAGTGCCACCCAGGCTGCCAGTGCTGCCAGACTGGGCTCCTGGCAAGGAGAGGTGCATGTAGCACTCTGCCAGTTGAACTCCCAATCTGTGTGCCATGCATGGTGGCTGTAGAGGCTGCTACTCATTATGCTGTTCTCCCTGGCACATCCCCTAGCTTTCCTGGGTGCAGCTTGGACTTGGGGGGATGTCTTTCTCTGGTGTGGTACGTGTGCATTGGTGAAGTCTCAGCTCCACTCCTCTTGAGTTGGAGGAGCAGAGGAGATTAGAATGAAGAATGATTTATGGAACCAAGTGACTGACGAGATAAGCACCAGGCTGCCCTCTCACTCAGCCCTGAGCAGTGGCCCTGGGTATGGCCAGAGCCTTGCAGGAGGGGCCTCAGAGCCTGCAGGTGGAGTAGAAGCATGTGTCCCGTAAAACCGGTGCAGCATTGTGGGGCAGCACAGTTAGCACAGCCTGGCACTCTGGCTGCTGCTAAGAGGCTTTGCCCTGATTGCTGAGCTATGTTACTCATCCGTGGGGAGTGAGGAGCATGGAGAACACAGCTTAAAGGGAGTGAGCAGCAGCAGGAGAAGCTGGTGGTTTAATGTATTTCTTTCTTAGTGCATTTACCTTACATATTTTATATTAGCCATTTACTTTTGTATTGTGCTTTTTTATCATTAAAATTTAACTTTTTAATATTTACTTAATAGTTACTTAATTAGATGGCAAGATTCCAAAAGACTTTTTCCACAGTGAGAAAGATCTCTTTTGTGCCCAGCCCTCTTCTTCCTCCTCTGCAGATGGCATGCACATGCACATGCACACATCAGCTCTCTCTCACTTGTGTAGATTTTGGGGGTTTTTTTGGTGGTTGTTTTTGGGTTTTTTAGTTTGTTTTTTGAAGCAGGATCTTGCTGTGTCGTTTAGGCTGGCCTTGATTGAGCTCACTGTGTTGCCCAGGCTGGCCTTGAATTCAACAGCGATCCTGCTGCTTCAACCTCATGAGTGCTAGGATTGCAGGTGTGCACCACCACACCTGGCATCTCACTAGACAAGGCACAATATGGGTTCGCTGTGTGCCTTGCTTTCTTTATTGTTGAAGCACATCCAGGTGATGACTCCGTGTTGGCAAAGAGCTGTCACGTAACTGTCTGCTCTCTGTGTGTGTCATCTAACCATCATCTGCTAGTAGACTCAAGCTGCTATCAATCCTAGGTTATTAAAATGCCTCTGTGAACAACCATGCCATCTTGTGTGCCATGGAGGTTGCTGCATTGGTGTGTGTCAAGATCGTGTTCAGTTGTGACTTTAATGGACAGTTGTCCAGTCAGGGCTCCCCAGAGTCCTGAGAAAGGCACACACTAGCCAGACATTTAAGACAGCCTTAGACACAAGCATTGAGTTATTTGATTTGGTTTTCACTGGATTTCTGGTGTATTAGGAGCAAAGCATTTATTGGATACTAACTGTGCATGTCCCACATTCAGAATTTAATCCCATACAAAACAAAAGGGGTGGCTGGAACCCGAGCTAACTGTCGTGTTTTGTCCTCAGTGACAGGTGCAAGCTTTGTGGTGTTCAGTGGTGCTCTGAAGCCGTCTTCAGGATTTCTTGCCAAGTCCAGCATAGTGGAAGGTACAGGCTTCGTCCTGAAGACTGCTTTAATGTGAAGCTGTTTCTGTGTTACCTTTAAAACCTAATGCTCACAGGAGAGCATTTGTGCATCACGTAGAGCAGCGCCAGCCCAGCTGCTGGCGCTTCCATCCTGGCTCTACCCTCCAGGAGTCCGACGCTCCCTGGACACGCTGCCTGACCTTTTCTTGCTGCCTCTTTATCTGTCCATAGATACGCGTATACCACATAGAACTTAATTAGCGTATGTAGGAGACTTTAGGAAGTAATAGTCACCACATTGTCATGTGAAGTTAGTATTTTCAAACGTTCTATATCTTTAAAATTCATGCATATTGTTGCCTTTGACTATAACTTATTCATTCTCATTACTATTTGGTATTTTGTGAATGTTTGACTGTTTACTCAGCTCCTGATCATGAACTTGAAGGTTGTTCATAGAGTCTGCTGTCATAAGCAGTGGCTCTTTAGCTGTGCGTGGACACTGGAGGGAGTCTAAACTTCCCTTGAAATACATATCTAGTGCTGGACTTCCTAGGCTGATACATTCGCAGGTGTTTAATGTTAGAAAAGGCTGCTAAACTGCTTTCCAAAACAGCTGCATCAGCTCTCCTTGTCATCAGCATGTCAGGTCTCTTGTTAGTCCTCATGGTCTCCAGATAGGTGACCATCACACTGCGTGAGTCTCATCAACTTGGATTTCTGAATGTGGTCACAATGAGCCTGTGTCTGTCCGCTGCACGGCCAGCATCCTGTCCGTGGTGGGCACTGAGAGGACCTTTCCTGTGAAAAGCCTGTGCCCAGTGTTTGCCTGTTTTCGTACTGAGTTATGTGTTTAACCAGTTACAATCTACATAGTTTTGAATATCATAGATCCTCCCTCCCCATTTTAAGTGATGTGTAATAATTAACAATTATTCATATTTATGTACATTGTAGTGTGATATCCTGAACATATATGAGATTTATAGGGATCAAATCAGGATAATTAGCATTTCCTTTCCCTAAATGTTTATCGTTTGTGTCGAGAAGCTCAGAACTCCATATCCTCTATAAAATGTATGATAAACTCTTGGGGACTGAAGTCCCTCCTCTGTGTGTAGAGCAGTGTACCCTGTCCCTCCCTGTGTGAATCTCCTCTCTTTACCCTTGCCACCCTTCCTAATTGCTAGGAACCACTCTTCTGTTCTCTCCTTCACAAGGCAGCTTTTCAGCTTCCATGTAAAGGCAGGAATGCCTGGCACTTGTCTTCCTGTGCTGGCCGGCTCCTGAGCACAGTGCCCTCAGTTGCCACTGCTGCAGGTGACAGAGCTGCTCTGTGGCTTGTGGCTACTGGCACACATGCCAGTGTGCCTTATCCCCCAGTACCTCACCCTCATCTGTTGGTACCCACAAGTATGAACTTTGTTTTTGTTTAACTTTCAAGAAAGAACCCTTAACATAGTGAAACATTTTTATTTTCTTAGTGGAAAACAACTGTTAGGCTGCCTAACGAAGGATTTAAACGATTTAACGGATTTAAAGGATTTAAAGGATTTAACGAAGGATTGCACTGAGCCTGTCTTGATAGGAAATGTTACAGCTTAGCCCTACACTCTCAGACATAGACCCTCTTTTGCAAATAAATGTGAAGCGCAGTTCTTGTTTACAGATGGCTTAATGGTGCAGATCACTCCAGAGACCATGAATGGCCTAAGACAGGCTCTGCGAGAGCAAAAGGACTTCAGAATCACCTGCGGGAAGGTGGATGCTGGGGACCTCAGAGAGTATGTGGATGTCTGCTGGGTGGACACTGCTGAGGAAGGAAACAGAGGGTAGGAACTGGTTCTTGGAGTGCAGCTGATGTGACGGGGAGAATGAAAACATGCCTTGAACATAATCATTTCATGAATGAATACAGAATTACGCCATGATGTAATGCTTACCCGCCAGTTAATAAATACTGCGTGTGTCTTCAGCCGGGCCCTGCCACCCCTGGTGCCATCTCTGGTAGTGAGCAGTCGGCAGGAGGGCAGCATTAGGCACAGATCGAGCAGTGGATGGGCGGCTGCCAGGGCAGGGGGCGGACAGAGCAGCTTCCCATTCCGGGTCCTGTTTCGGTGGCATGAGTAATGATTCCCTTTGCACAGCGCTAGTTACATTGCGTCCTGTGAGCTGAGCTGGATTTCCTAGTGTGTGCACTGAGCTTTGCAGATTGCTACCACACCCTCCCGCCACCTGCCTTTTTCCATGAGCCCCTTGTCTTCCTGGAGATTGGCTGAGGGTGTGCAGGTAGAAGGACGAAGAAGGCTAATGCTGAAGGGTTCCAAAATAGAGCTTTTGAACTCATAAGATAGCTTTTCTGTTAGGAGACCGCTTGAGGTATATGAAACCTGGGTCTGAATTGGGCATGTGAAAAAGTAGATACAATTTACTGATGAACAGAAATATGAGCTACGTATCTTGTATATAACTGAGATACATTGTTGCTGCTTTAAATTTAGAACTAATTTTTCTCATCTTCATTTGTTCAAATCTAATCACTTAATAAAAAGCACTTAGATGACACTGATCTATTATGTTTGTCCTGTAGTGTTATCAGCCCGGTGGATGGAATCTCATTACAAGGATTTCCAAGTGAAAAAGTAAAACTGGAGGCAGATTTTGAAACTGATGAGAAGATGGTGAAGTGCACCGAGGTAGTAGCGGAGGAGGCCCCTCTTTCACACACCGTGCTTGGCCATGTGTTTCAGGTTCACGTTGGAGAACGTGTGTCTCGGCCTTGGACCAGCAGGGTTGGAGTGTGGTTACCGCCCTGTTCCCTTTACACCTGCAGCACGCACATCCACCCTGGACTAAGGGTGGGAGGCTCATCCCAGGCTGTCGTCTTGGGCTGGGGGTTACACCCAGGTCTTTGCACTGAGCTACATCCCCAGCCTTTTAGTTGATTTGTTGTTTAAAGACAGAGTCTCACAGCACCCCTACATTGCTCAGGCTGGATTCATACATTGAACTCACAAACCTGCAGCATTATTCCGAGCTCAGAGTTTTTACATAGGAGGCTGTGAAGCTTAGGGCCTCAGACTCCAGGTCTCTTAGGCCACCTCTGTTCCTCAGCCCTGCTTCCTCATCAGCAGTCAGTGGCACTGGCTTCTTCGCAACTTTTGTGATTTCATGTGTATGCAAGATCCGTAGAAACTTCAGAACATCATTTTTTTGTCTGACTTTGACCTTACGTAGATACCCTTTCGGGCTGGACTCCGTGGGTTAGCAGAACTGTCTTGCTACAAGTTGGCTTCAGGCAAACCTAGCTGGGCCACTTCTGTAATCTTCAGTTCTAAATGTTTATGGAGTAGGTGCAGGCTGTAGACAGAATAGTCTCAGCTAGTGATTTCATAGAACTTACACTGCCATTTTATTAATGTTGATTTGAAAGCAGCAATTGCTGCATTTTAAAAGTTGCTTTTGCTGCCTTGGTGGCACACACTTGTCGGGAGTGGCTGAGGCAGGAGGATCACTGCAAGTTCAAAGCCAGCCTGAGCTCCATAGTGAAACCCTGTCACAAAAGAAAAATTACCTTCAGTCTTCATAATCGCTTATTTTCTAATTAAATGTATTGCAGGTATTTTACTTTCTAAAGGACTGGGATCTGTCTGTGTTATCAACCCACTATCAGTTTGCAAAAGAAATCGCCATGGCCTGTAGTGCTGCCTTGTGCCCGCACTTGAAGACTCTGAAGAGTGACAGGGTGAACAGGATTGGACTCAGGGTCTCCATTGACACAGATGTGGTAAGGCCCATTGTTATGGGGTCCCGAAAGTGGGTGTCTCTCATAACACAGTAACACATTTGGAGATTTTTCTCTGACTGAAATATGTGGGCATCAGACAGGTGACACCACCTATGCCCATCCCCGTGTTCCTCCCTGCAGCATCGTGGCACTCAGGCCCTGTGCTTGGTGAGAGCAAGCATGCCCTGCCAAGGATGTGGCCACCCATCTGGTGACCACCTTCCCCCGGCTGGCTGAGCCCCACTCTGTGAAATCCTGCTTTTTAAATCCGCATGCTCTGATGAAATTCTCCATTGAGAGGATTTACAGTTTCCTGTGTCAGGTCATCTGAAAGGAGTGTCCCTGTGAGCATCTCAGAGGGCAGCGTCCACCTGCCTGTGCTTTGGCGGAGCAGGGGACCGTAGCTCTCGTCACTCGCCCCCTGCAGATGCAGACTTAGGCATCCCACCGGCCCTGCTCCCCAGCACTCCAGCTCCCTGTCAGTTCCATGTCTTTCAGTCCGTAGGTGCTCTCTGGGATTTCCTCTAGGGGCAGCAGGCGGCGAGCCTATCTCGCTCCCCTGTGAACCATCTTACTTTTGCCCCTTCTTTAACATGAGCACCAGAGAGATGCTACCTATCTACCAGAGCCTGTTCCTTTTACAGCTGCATAGCAGCACAGGGTTGGTTACATAGGTGGGTGACAATTGGTGTAACTAGTTTTCTTCGGTGTATTTATGTCAAGGCTGTGGACAGTGTCTTGCTCCTGCGTGGATGTGAGCACAGCCCTAAGAAAGATTCCTGACAGCACTGCCGTGTCCAAGCACATACTGAACAGATACTGCAGTTTGCCCAAGTAAAGGCGATGCCAGTTTATGTTTCACTCAGAAAGTTCTAAGAATCCCTTCTCCCACAAAACACTATACACATGCAAGCCTGCTCGTGCTTTCCGGTTTGTTTGCTTTTTTCTCCAGTGCTGGAGAGCAAACGTAGGCATTCAGGTCTCGGCAAGCACCTTCCAGGAAGCTGCATCCCCAGCCCAAACCTTGCAGCTTCACAACTTGATAGGTGAGACTGCAGCCCCAGTATTAGCTTGGCATGCCGGTCTGTGAGCATGGGTGAGGGTTGTCTACACGCTTTTCCTGTAAACTTCGGCTCCTGTCTGGTGCGAGTGTTGTCTTTGTAATTTGCCAGCACACAGTGCAGGTTTTCAAAGCAAGGTTCTCTTCACGTGAGGAGGCTTATGTGCTGCTGGCTTCCTCCAGCCAGGTACAGTGCCTCTCCCCGGAGGAGGAAGTTCTGTTCTCGTTGCACTATGGACAGCCCCATTTTCAGGGAAGCTCTGTAATCACTGGGCATTTGAGTAGGCACCATTTGTTTGCTCTTTTTAGTCAGACGCGTTAGAGTAAAATATGAAATGTCACTGCAGTAATTGGTGCTTGTGCAAAGCCTCAGCCCTCTGGTGCTCACGTTTCCACTGAGAGGACCCTGCAGGATGGCAAAGAGCACCGAACATCTGTGTAGTGGATGGTTAAGAGAAACATGGGTGAAGTCCTGGTTTATAATAAAGTATTGTTTTCATTAACATGCTTAAACTGAGCATTTAAAATATCATCTGAGCTAAACAAGATTGCTAATTTTCCAAGATTGTTTTATCAAGGTTTCCTTTCTCAGGTTGAATTTCAGGCAGGCTCTGAGGGCCAGCTGCTGCCTCAGCATTATCTAAACGCCCTGGACAGCGCCCTGATCCCTGTCATCCATGGGGGCACCTCCAGCTCCAGTTTGCCCTTGGAAATGGAACTGGTGTTTTTCATTCTGGAAAATCTGGTGTCGTGAGAGGCTGTGCCATGTCGTGTACTACAAACTGCCCTGTCAGAACCAACCCAACACTAAAGCTGAAGTGCCACAAACACTAAATTGTTGATGTTCGAAACACTGAAGCTTTGCTCTGGGGGTAGAAATGATATGTGAAAATCACTGTTGCAATATTCAAATATGTAAGTGTGAAGGATCCACCATGTTTTAAGCTTTGCATTAATATGAGCACTAAAAAGACAAAGACTTGTACCTTTAAGAAATTGATCGCATTTTCTGTGTTATTTCAACGTTAAGCCAAAGTGTATGCATTTAGTTATACCTCTTTATTCCAAGAAAGATTTTAATGAAGCCTCTTTGCACATGTAATGTTATGAAGGAAATACCTGTTTGTTAGAAGCCAGTGAAAACACCGGCTTCAAAAGTCTGTCTAAAATGTATTTCAACAGCATAGACGAGTTTCCAGATCTTAGACTTGCAAGTCTTAGAATAAAGCTAATAACTTATTTGTATAATTGGAATGGAGACCTACTTTCATGATTAGAGAAGACCTGTTTGTTAGATTAAAGTCAAATTTTTCTTTTTTTCTTCTCAAATTATTATATAAATGTGTATTGTTTTTCCTGATTAAATGGGTATTCTTAAAATAAATGTGGGTGCTTCAGGATTTTGTGCTTCTATATTTAAGTACATTGTTTTTATAGCAACATGTGCTTCAGAATGTTTTATAAATCTTTAATAATTTATAAATAGGTAATATTTTTGTATCACAGTGCATTATTTTCCTCCTTTTTTCCAAAGTGTATCAGTGTACTTACCACTGGTGAGCATGATTGACAGCAGGCCAGGTGGCCGTGAGGTGGTCAGTATGTAGCAATAAGTAAGCCTAAAACAGGTTTTTTTACCTTCAATGTTAATCCTTAGAAATTTCTTGGCAAGGCTACATATTTTCATTGATACATGTATGAATATAAATTTTAATGAACTAATCACCTTTACATATTTTAAATTCTTTATGTGGTGGTTATTTTTTATAACAGGATATTTAACATATGTATTTGAACCTGTTACAGAGCTTTTCTTTTTACTTCAAATAGGAAAAAAATTAAAAGGGCATATATTAGTCCTGTCATTTCAGTTATATAAAGTCTAATCATTATTTGTTGTCTTTTATATTATATGTGGAATATGCCTTTTTTGTATCCAAAACACTCACTGTATATCTGAAGAAAAAGAAACTACACTAAATACCTGTTATAAGAGAGTTATTATGAAGCATCTCAACTTCTAGATCGAATCAAGGGTATAACTCAGGATCTGAGGTCTCAAGCTAGAGGAGACCAAGAAGTATAATCTGTTTCAGCATGTAATCTCTACTGACTCCTGTGGTCCTAGCCAGAATCAGGACACAGTTTAGAAGAGGTCAGTCTGCTGGAAATGGCTCCTTCATAAACAATGTACAATGTTACATACTAAATAAAATGACAATATATAACCTGTGAAATTTATTGAAATGATCTGAGATAAAAATAATTGCATAATGTTTTTTTACATTGTGTGTGTGTTTATTTTTTAGGGTAGTAGAAACTTACTTCGTACTATAATTGCACAGTTTAGGAATAGTGACCATACCTTAAAATAAGCCAATGGTGGAAGGCTCTTCTGTGATGGGATAAAGCCTCGCTATTCAATAGTAGTGTGAATGATAGCCTGAGGTCAGGGGCACATTTTAGAGTGTTCTTTGTAGATGTCCATTTCCTATTGCTCCCTATTTGATTATGTTCATTGCAATTTTAGTTTTTCAAAAGTACCGAAATAGAATGGCTATTTTATCCATGCACAGTGATCTGGTTTTGGCTTTATGCTACAACTCTTTCTGAATTGTGAAACCAAAGCAAAATACAGCCCTGTGCAGCTATATAATAAAATCCAAGTCTGTGTTCATGCTACATGCAGAGCACTCTATTAGATTTTATTGGTCAAAAAATGAATAAAACAGTTCTTTCCCTTTTGAAGTTTAAGTATTTGAAGCAAATAATAGCAAAAGCTTTGCTTCCTGTCGCCCACTCAAGCGGGTGTCCAGCAGTCTGGGAGGATGGCCTTGCCTCTGATGAGAAGCCAGTCTGCATGCCTGCCCAACGGTGGGCAACAGTCACCTGACAGGGTCCAGATGAACAAAACGAAGATGACACAGTCTCAGCACTCAAAGCATCCAGGATGCAACCTAAAATTACCTGATGTGGAAAGAATTCGGGAAACTGGAAAAACTACAGGGAAAGACAAAAGTCAGTTTAAAGGTTATGTTGTCAGAACAGTCACCAGAAAAGGACATAAAAGTAGGCTTTTTTTTAACACTGTTAAATGAAAGATGCTAAAAAAGAACCAAGCAGGGGCTGGGGATTTAGCTCAGTGGCTCAAGCACTTGTCTGGTAAGCACAACATTGTGAGCTCGATCCCTGGTACCAAGTAAATTAATTAAGATTAAGAAGTAGAAAGTTTTGAATTGAAAATTAAACACCTTATTGGAGGAATCTCAGCAGTCAGTGAATTTGAAGATAAGATCAGAAATTAGGGTAAGTTTTTTTTTTTTTAGGGTATTTTTTTAAGTGAGATCTTGGGGATCTGAGTGAGAGGATCACTATCCAATAGTTGTGTATTAAAGGTCTCAAGAGAAGGGGCCGGGGATTTAGCTCAGTGGCATAAGTGCCTGCCTTGCAAGCATGTGGTCATGAATTTGTTCCCCAGTACCAATTAAAAAAAAAAAAGGTCTCCAGAGAAGAAAGATGAGAAGGAATGACATTTGAAGAAATAACAGGTGAGCCTGGCTGTAATCCCAGTTACCTAGGAGTCCAAGGCAGTTCCAAATGTGAGCCAAGCCCAGTCTGGGCAGTTCAATGAGATGCTGTCTCAGCATAAAGTAAAAAGCGGACTAAGCTTTGTAGTGGGGCAATTGCCTAGTGTGCATGAAGCCTTGGGTACAGTGTTCAGTAGCACAAAAAAAAAAAAAATTTAAACTTTAATTTTATACATACATAAAATACATTTTTTTTCTTTTTTTTAAACACAAAATTGAAAGGATTTTGCCCCTTTTGGGACACTGTAGCTGGTGAAAAGTTGGGAGGCGGGACCAAGGGGCTGTATCTTCCCTGCCCCTAGGAATTCACCTGTGGTGGGAAATGAAATCCAATGGGCTACCTGTGTATCACTAATGCCCCTCAGGCACCACCCCAAACCTAAGCTACATGTATGCCCCCACCCACGTGTCTGATGGAGAGAATGCCAGCCTCCGGAGACAATGCCAGACCCCAGGGGGGGGCCTCTTCCTGCATTCTTAAAGGTCATTTATATTTCATGCTTCTTATCTTTTCAGCTGTGCCAAAATTCTATCATATGGTTCCCTGACCGGGAATCCAATTCTATCATACAGTGCCATGACTCGGATCAGCAGGCAAGTGACTTCTGAAATCCCCATTCCGAGTCCCCTGCTGATTCACGAACTGGACTGAATCCTGGATTAATTCCTCACTTCTCAGCACTCAGAGCTGCTAAACTGGTCACTGCCGATTTGCAAACAACACCAGTCTAATTCATTTACCACAGGTGAGCAACCTCTGGAGATTATTGGGTTGCTAGGCCAGGCCCCATGCAGGTTTTCTCCACCTTCCCTGGACTCCAGTGATGCTCTCACGTCCTTAGCCCAAGGCAGAGCCTTCCTTCATGGGCCAGGCCCCACACTGGAAAGCTCTCATATCCTTTAGAGCTTTTAAGGTCTCAGGGGCAGAGCTATTACTGAAATCCACAGGAAATCCCCTCCTGTTGTTGGTGATGGCCAATTATCACGAGCTTTGGAAGCAAATTACTGATTACCAATCAGCCTACGAGGTAAAGGTGATCATCTAAGCTGAGTAGGCCATGGTCCTTTGCCTCACCTGACTGTGACTCCGTGGGCCAGGCCCCACACCAGATTTTATCTTAGGGACTACTTCCTGTTACCCCCAAAAAACCATACCTATTTATAGCTTATCACACTGACCACAAGTTTACAAAACTTTATCTTTAAGCCTTTGTTTTACGAATGGAATGTGTCTCTCCCCCCCCTCCAGGACCCCTCCCCCTCCCCACACTGAGGACAGCCTTCCAAAGCTTTCTCAGCATCCCCCTCTTCCTCCCTGCTTCCCCTCCCCCCGCTGCGCACCGCATTCCCTGCTGAGATGGGGGAAGTGCACCCAAACTGTTGGGAGGTACGTGCGGGCTGCTGTGGGCTCTCACGCTGAACCCCAGCTCCACACGGGGTCCGGCTCCACGCCACTGTGCCCAGCTCCACGCTCTGCCCCCGCCCTGTGCACATCTCTAGAGCAGTTCCGGCTCCGCCCCGCACACTGTGCCCTGGCACTCCTCCAGCGTGCACCGCACCCACCCTGGGCACTCTGCCTGCCCTGTGTGCTCCACCCAGACCCTGGGCACTCTGCCTACCCCTCGTGTTCCACCCATGTGCTGCACCCTGTGCACATACCAGACCAGTCCCAGTCCCAGCCCCCAAGCACCAACGCAGCTCTGATTGCAAATGTGGCTCTGACTGCAACGCAACTCTGACTGCCAGCACGGAGACAGACACACAAGGTCTCCGCAGACAATTTGTTGTTGCTGATCTGATGGTGTATTCATGCTTTAAAATATAAAATTCAGATTGTTTCTGCTGCCTTTTTCTTGTGTTCCAGCCATGACAAATGTTTTCTTTCAGATCCAGATATACGCTTAGATATGTTTCACAAAACAAATGTATTCAGCATTCAAATGTTAACATGCTCATGGTTAATAGCCATTTAATGTTCTATGTTAAGCTTACTGCCTATATTATACTGTACTGTTACCAATCTTCTAGATATTTAACAACTAAAATTAAGAGGTAATTATAAATTCCTTTTACTGTTATGATGCAAAACAATCAGACCAACACTGAGGCAGAAGCAAGACTTAAACCTTTCCCAGGCTGTCTGCCTGCCCTGGCTCTGCCCTCCACCGAGCCATAATTAACTATATTCAACTGATGTTAAATGACACCATAGCTGATCTCTCTCTCCTACATAAAAAGGTAAAAATTAATAAAACAGGCCATCCTCCAAAAATCAGATGGCATTAGGCATTTTAATAACATAAAGAGATACTTATATATGACATAAGTGATATGTCAGTTCCTAAAATTCCCTGGACCTTGTCCTTATGGGAAACCATTACAAATACCTTATACTGTAGACCAGATCCCAAAACAAAAGGCTAGACTTAACCCTCAAACCCCACAGAGAACTACTTAATATGGCTTTTCGTGTTTTCAACAACAGAGATAGCAGTAACACTTGGAGTTCTGAGACAGGTAAACTGACACAAAGTGGAGCTGCCTGCCCCCCCTCATGGACCATGCCTCAAATGCAGCAGAAGGACATTGGACAAGAGAGTGCCCCATCCTGGCGTTCCTTTGGGACCTTACCCTAGGGTTACTGGACTGTCCTAGCCACCAGAGAGTGGGTAAGCCATCCTAACTTCTAGCCCTCACAGGAGATTCCAACATTGCCATATTTATCACTGACAGATCTACTTAAACTTGCTGCTGAAGACTGATGGGGCTCAGGGCCCACAGCCTACTTTAAGGTGTCCGTCTCAGAGTCCCAAGTCCCATTGAAAGTCTCAGGCAAGACATTCTCTATACTTGTGGATATATAGGGGTATTCCTGAGTTTTCAGGCCACTATATTAAGTCCTCAGTCTCTATAGGGGGTATTGATGGCCAACCTATGCCATTTACTAACAGGGCCTATTTCGTGCAGGTCCCAGACTGCTTCTTCCCAATCCACCCAGTGGTGCCAAATCTCCCCTCAATCACTCTCTCTACAGTCCTAAATCTTAAATCTTGTGTTTATACAGACCCTTGTGTTTATACAGACTGACCCAGACACTCAGAGGCCTCAACAACTTACACCTGTTATTGCTATCAAACCTCTCCTCAGGGATATATAGCTTCCTTTCCTATTCACCAATTTCTCAGACACAACCCTAGTCAAAACTGACAGATAAATTTTATCTTCTCACCTTTGTTTATGCTTTTTCAAGATACATAAAAGCCTTTCCCAACCAAGGAGACTGCTGATATACTTACTAAAGTTCTGTTACAGCAAATCATCCCAAGGACTACAATCAAGTTAGAGTGACCCATACCTAGTCTTCTTGGCAACCTCAACAGCAGTCAAAGTTGCTAGACTGCCATCCTGGTTTCACATCACTCAGGTTAAGTGGTGCCCTTCTAGTCCTAAATCTAACCATCCTTTTACCTACTCATCTCCACCTCACCAAGGCTTCACAGCCACAACTCTCAGGCTGTCACATTTTGTTATCCAACTTGGTTTCTAATTTCTTACCCTTTTTACAGCAGGACTCTCAACAGTATTTCCTAAAGACTCCCACATCATGCATACCAAAGACAAGTCTTACTTACCTATCCTTTTAAATTTTACCCTTTCAGATGGGGGAGTAATCACCTCTCATAATCCCACACTTATTTTTCAGAATTCTATCTTACCATGGCAATGATTCTACCTCAACATGGTCCTGATAAAATGACATATCTAAATCAAAGGCACCTTTCCTTCTACCTTACCCGGGTCCTTAAATATGATAGTGCCATGTCTCCTCATAACACCTTGTCTCTTTGTTTTTCCAGTCTAACATACAGGCATTCACCAGTGTTAAAGTTGTCCTGACTAAAACATCTGGCACCAGCTTCTACATGGGCATCAACCGTCATCCCGTCAATTCTCCTAAACCTCAGTACAGTGCCCCCTTCCAGCAGGAAGCAGTAAAAGAAAGAAAAACTTCACCCTTTTTCCTAAAAATCAAAAGATGGGACTGAAAGGATTTTGCCCTATTTGGGACACTGTAGCTGGTGAAAAGTTGGGAGGCGGAACCAAGGGGCTCTATCTTCCCCGCCTCTAGGAATTCACCTGTGGCGCAAAATGAATACCAGTGGGCTACCTGTATATCACTAATGCCCCTCAGGCACCACCCCAAACCTAAGCTACATGTATGCCCCCACTCCACGTGTCTGATGGAGAGAATGCCAGCCCCTGGAGACAATGGCAGACCCCAGAGGGTTGGGGCTCTCTCCCCACATTCCTAAAATAAAGGTCATTTATATTTCATACTTTTTATCATATGGTTCCCTGACCAGGAATTCAGTTCTATCAAAAATTATATTTAAAGGAGGTTTATCTCCACAGGACCCCAAAATGAAAATACAAAACACACCCAGAACATCATAATCAAATTGATGAAACCAAATATAAAGAAATGAAGTGCTTTTTTTTTTAAGCAACCAGAGGAAACTAACAGCTTGCTTTATAAGAGAACAAAAGATTTGGCCTAGTATGTACACAGTCCCAGATCCAGTCATCAGTGTGGGGGGCAGGGCAGCAGGAAAATAAAAGAAAATAAATCACCTCTGCCAAGTCACTCCATCAAGTTTCTAAACACCTCAAGTTGACACAATGTATCAGCCATTCCAATCCACCCCTTGTCAGCTTGGCAGCTACACACATTTCTTTAAAATCACTTTTTAGATACAAATGCATGCTTATTTTTATCATTTTACAACTTGAACACCATAACACAGGTTTAACAACCCTTAAGAACCAGTTTTAAGGGGTTGGGGGACTTAGCTCAGTGGCATAAGCACCTGCCTTGCAAGCAGGCAGTCGTGAGTTCCATCCCTGGTACCGATAAAAATGAAAAAGACAAAATTTAAAAAATTTTAAAAAACCAGTTTTAAGTCTATCAACATCGTATTACAACATTTCACCCTTGCAGCTGAAACAAGCACGTTTGTTTCTACCACCTCCTTTGTCTGGGCCAAGTTGTAGGCTCCTGAAGCTGTTTAGGGATCACCCCCACCTCCGGCTTGCAGGCCTGTGAGAAGTGGTGAATGTTTAAAGTCTGCAGAGGTCCAGATAGATTTTTGTGCTGCTTGGCTTTTTCCCTAGCCTTGCTCTAAGCTGCTGTCCCACCTCTTCGTAAGTATGTAAATGTACAGTTCCTTCTGGAATCAAACAAACTCCAGAAATTTAGCAAGCTGTGCTGTCTCCATAGGCACTCAGTCATGGAAACACTCTCTTACCCAGACCTACAATGAAAAGATAAATATACAACTCAGTAGTAAAACAAGCACTTCTATATACATTTGTGGTCCTTGAAAATATGTTTGCCCCATGATAAAATCAGTACACCTCTCTCCCTTTTACTTCTTGTGAGTTTGTCTTTCTCTTTGACCCTAGTGAGCCCATTTTTGGCCCTAGCGACCCATTTTTCTCTTCGGCTGTAGTGAGCCTGTTTCTATGCCCCAAGTTTGACACTTGGTGCTATCAATATCAATACTCTGATGCTATCCACTTCTCCCGCATTTTATGCACCAAGTGCCCCTCACCCATGGTTTCTTCTTAGCCCAGTCACTGTTCAGGCACCATATGTACTGCCTGGCTGCAGCTCTAGATGCTCCAGGGGTAAGGGAGGATGACAAAACAGTGTGACATATACTAAGGTCAGGTGGAGCCCTCTCCGGATGGGAGGAAAGGAACTGCTCTGCCAAAGTGGTGCATTTATTATAGACAATTAGTAACAATGTCATGTGACACCCCATTGCCTAGGACTCTATGCATGGCAACCTAAGGGCTGATGTTTTTGAGACTGTGTTAGCTTGTGTATGTGGCCCTCCTCTGGCAATCTTTTTTTTCCTCGGAAGAGGCTTGTCTCCCTCCCACAGGTGTGGTCAATTTCCAGTTTCAGCTGCACCCAACAGGACACAAAGATTTGAATATTGGCAGAAATTTCATCGGGAACCAAGAAGGCCAAAGATGATGGAACATTTATAAGGTGCTCCAAAACACTATCAACACGGAGCCCTCTATTCAGCAAACAAATCCGTCAAAAATGAAGGTGAAACTGGGTATTTTTCAGAAGCAGAACTATAAGAATAACCAGAAACATGTTTTAAAATGAACATTAGGGAAGTTCATGGGGAAGAGAAACAATAGCAAAGAAGGCAGAATAGGATATATTTTTTCACAGTATAACACATACGTGTGTGTGTGCGTGCATGTGTGTATGCCAGAGTAAAAACTGACAGGATTACCAATGCCAAAAGATGTGACGCACAGGAGAACTTCACCCTAATAAGGACAATAAAGGGACCTCTGTGGTGAAAAGGTATCTATAGTTCACGTGGCAAAATATTCTAAGGAGACTGCAAAAATTGGTAAGCTATAATCTATAGCAACTATTTTTTTTAAAACTATACAAGAAGATAACATTTTTAAAGTAATATTTTGAAAACTTCAAATAATTCAAAATAAAAATAAAAACAGGAATGAAAAACATAAGGGACAAACAGAAAAATTAATGAGAAAATGGCATCTACATCCAGCCATATCAAAAAACTACTTTAAATGTTTAAATAAGACCAAAAATAGATAAAAGACAATTATGATAATCACTTTCAATGGTGCATAATGTTCAAAGTAGAAAGATAGGAAAATATATATCAGGCAAACACTAAAAGATGGCATAGCTATGTTGCTATCAGACAGCAAAAACTGTACAAGAAGGAAATTACCCTTGCTCTGTTACTGCATTTTAAGACAAAAGAGTTAAATAATAAACTCAAGAGAGTCATTTTCCCAAAGTCACACAGCTAGGAACTCACTGAATTGGAATTTTACCAAAAAAAGCTTTCTATCATCAATCTCCAAAAAGCAAAATAAGCTGTATTAAGGTTACTTATGCAGACTTTTTATGGCTGTGGTTATAATCAGAGCCAGAAAGAAGTGAATAGAATGACTAATACACAGTCAGTATTTAGCTCAGCAACACAAGCACCTTCCAGGCAACTGCAAGGCCCTCACTTTGATTCATGGTATCAAAAACAAAACCAAAATGAATGACTGATACAATGCAAGAAAAGGAAGTCCCTGTTCTAGGATATAATGGCTATTTGTTTATAAAACTACCCAGTCTAAAACTAGAAGCTAAGTCTCCTGACCAGTGCTTCTCCACAGATGCACTGCTCCTAATCTAGGTGATGGTTATAAGACTCACTTTGAAGCCCACAAATCTATTTCTATGATTTACTCAACAGTGCAAGCAAGCAAACACAGCTAATTGTGTAAGTGGTAACAAAAATGGGCAGATTTATGCTAAAGTTTTACAAAGTGTAAAGCAGTTAATGGGTACCAAGAAATAAAATATTTAAAATTTCAGAATCTCTTAACTTCTATCCCAACTGCTGTTTTAAATTGCCTTAGTTTTATTTTTTAATCACAATTTAGGGTATTTGTAATTGGTGGTATCTCTTGAGTGAGCCTTAAGTTATGTGCAAGGGTCAATGCACGGCAAAGAAAAACTTTGCAGACTATGTATCTTTTGTTAGGAAGATATCCTGAACTACAGAATGGACCTGAGACACAGATCAAAGCAAGTGGAACCTGAGCATCGATTCGAGAATATTTATTTTATTTTTAAAATATTGGTATATTTAAGGAGCAGAGATAATCAGAGTTAATACGGACATCCATAATTTTAAAAAATAGCAATTTGGGTAACAAAAAGCTGGTAACAAAATAGAGGCCAAAAGACAAGTATATACACACACATATATATAGATAGATAGATATATACATGCATGCTGAAGGGAAAATAATTCTCAGGTCAGGTCATTTTTTAAAAAATGAATTACATATACTGAACCAAAGGTCACATTTCCATGATGAATTCTTACTCTAATTATTCAGAGAAGTATGAAAGCAGGATCGAAGACATACAGCTTAAGTCTGGAAACAAAAACAATGAAGTCTGAAGGAGTGAAAGAGAGCAGCTCTGATGATCATAGTAAAGCTCCACTGCGCCTCTGCGACATTGCTTCTTCTCAAATCCTATGTAACAGAATCACATACTAAAGGTCGTTTTGTGGCTGGCATCTTTCGTATTTCTGAGGCCAGTCTGTGTTCAGCGAGTGTCGCGCTTTATTTCTTTTCCAGCCCCAGTTCGTCTAGGAAAGCAAGCTGCAGGCAGGCAGGCAGCTTCTGGGGTGCTTCTGGTGATCACTGGTACAGGGAGGATAAAATTGAAGTTAGCTCAGCATCCTTGGCTGCAACAGTTCTTTGTGTGCCCAAACTCCTGCTGCCCATACAGCCATCAGAAAGCATTTCCTATTTCTCTGTCCCAGAGAAGACGGCCACTGCGCGTGCGCGTACAACGCGTGCCTCCTTCCGGCCAGACTCCCCACTGTTTCCGGTCCGGCTCACCTAGGTACTCAGGAACCTGGGTTCGGGCCCGCCGTCTAGTGTCAGTGGAGTCAGGTTCTTACGCGGCCGGACCCGCGCCTGTGCAGACAGTGGGCATCATCATCATGGCAGCGCCCGCGGCTGGCCAGGGTAAGAGTCTGTCCCTGGCTCCACGCGGCGCGGGCTCCGAGCCACCTGTGCTATCTGGACTGGGCTGGGGCGGGGAGGGTGGGCGTGACCGGAGCTGCGGGCCTGTAGCCTGCTAGGGCCGGGCGGTTCTTCTACGGGGCGCCGCCTGCGCGATCGGCGGCCTCAGTTCCATGCAGAGGTCTGCGGGGCGGCCCGGGTGGGGACTGCCGCGCCTGAGGAGCTTGGCGCTCCCCGGGACAGAAGGATCGCGATCGGCGCAACTCTGATCATCCTGCAGCTTCCCTAAGGCCCAGTCGCAGGAGCTCTTTGGACTGTTTTGTGTCGTGCAGAAATGAAAAATAATCTGTTCTCGGACGTATTTTCTGCCTACCGGCCTCCGCGGCGCCGGGCCGAGCCGCCTAGACACTGCCTCCTGCCTTCACTTTCGCTCCTAGACCTTGCAGTCATATGTGGCCCGCGCGGGAACCCAGAGCTCTTGCCCATCCCTGGCCCATCCGATTAGTAGCCTCAGTCCCCTCTTTACGAAGCGACACATGGGCAGGTTCGAGGGATTACAGCGGAGGCGTCTTTTTGCTATTATTTTTCCTACTATTCCATTATTGTTCTCTGTTTCCCACTTTTTTTTCACTTAGTGTGTCTGAGATTATATGTTACCTTACTCTTTTTAAGGTTTGTATAATGCTCCATCGTGCAATAATAAGCCATAATTTAGTGATTATTTTTGGTGAACATTTAGATTTTTGCTCTTTTACTATTACAAACAGTAGTGCAATAAATGTTCTTATATGAAATGTGTAATTTCCCCAATATAAGTGTATCAGTTGTTTTGAGTACATTTCATGGAAGTGGGACTCCTGGACTAAGTAGTAGATATTTAGAATGTTTTGCATAATATTTATTGCCATATAGTTATATATCATGCATTTCAGTTTATGGTGAATTCACAGACTGGTACAAACATTAGGTAGCTTTATTTATTTACTTACTTATTTACATATTTTTGAGACAATGTCTCACTCAGTAGCCCAAGCTGCCCTCTTGCCTCAGCCTCAGTGCTGAGATTGCAGGCCTGCGCCACCACATCTGGCTCCTCAATGTTCTGTTGGCAGTTTCTGACAGCCAGTATGTGTTTCCTGTTTTGCTTTGTATTTTTCCAAATCCAATTACTTTGTTATTCTCCTTCTATACATCCTTGCCCCTTTTTTATTAATCCCTGCAGAACCCGGCAGTCTCTCTTCCCAGTATAGACCCAGAAGAAACCACTGCCTCGTAACTTGTGAGCATTACAGTACTCATGATAGCTAAGGTATGGAAACTACCTACTATATGAGCATTGACGGACAAGTGGAAAAAGATTTGGACACAGATACACACACACACACACATACACACACACACACACACACTAGAATATTATTCATTCCTAAAAAGAATGAGATCTTGCCTTTAGCCACAACTGAATGAGTTTGGAGAACATCATTATAACTCAGTGAAATTAGCCAGACACAGAACAAAATATTTGCACTCTAATAAATCAGGTATGCAAGATAGCAAAGAAAGTGGTGCTGGCCCTGGAGGGGGCCGGGAAGTGTGGACCGTGAGGGGTGTGGAAGCAGCCAAGGTAGGACTAACACACGGCCTCAGGACCGCAGGGAGGCCAGCCGCCTCATCCCAGGCAGCTGTGCGAATAGAGTGTGGTTCAGCTGTCCAGCCGCCCTTGCTGCAGAACCATAAACCACAGCTGCCATGTCTGGTGCATCATATGTTGGCTCCTTGGCACCAATGTATGTCTCATTCTACCCTGCTCTCTCTCTTAAATATGTACCATGAAGTTTGCATTTAAAACATTTACTCCCTAAGAAACAGTATTCTTTCTCATGTGGGCACTGTTATTTATTGCAGGATGCTGGAGTGAAAATATCCTGCACTATTTCCTGAGAAATCGTCAGATTGCCACGGAGGACGGCGCGGAGATTATCTGGTACCACGGCGCCAATCACCAGGCGCAGATGGAGGAGGCGCTGAGAAGTGAGTGGGGTTCACCCTGCTGACTTCTGACCGAACATGCTGTCTGGAGCCAACCTTCAGTAATAATAGCTAAGTCGCCTCTGCTTTGAAAAGTGCCACTTCTCAAGTTCCTGGCCTGGCATCAGAATTCAGGGTGGTTCCTTGTACCTTTCTTTCCTGCGTGGCCTTCTGTGTCTGAGTTCTCGTACTTAGCGTGCTTTTAAGGTCCGCTGACTGCTCTGACCCATGTCTTTACTACACCCCACTGGTAGCATGGTTCCAAGTTCTGATCTTCCCCCATCCCTGCCCGCACTTGTTACTGTGCTGTCTTGTATTAATAGTCATCTCACTGTGTGTCTTCCCTAGAAGAGGGGATGCCTCTTCGTGCATTTCTTGGGAAGTGGCTCCTGTCAGCTTTCCCAGACTGCTTTCTACTGGAGATTTTGGGAGCCCACTGACTTACTTGCCTTTTGAGCTATTTCTGTTTGAGCTATTTCCGTCAGAGCCACTCATCGGTGTTTTTGACATTTTCTTCCCAACATCCCCATAGCAGCTTCTTTATGAGCTGCCCTGTCTGTCAGCCAGGCACCGCATGCCATAGGGTCAGTGGGATCTCAGGAGCGACAGGGTCAACACAGAGCAGGTTGATTGTATCTGCAGTTTTGTGCAGCAGAATTGGAGCTGCTGCTCTGATTCTGTGACATCCCCTGCACCCTGGCTTGCTCTCCTTCGGGGTTGTTATGATAGTGTGACATGACAGCCATCACTATGGTCTGTTGTCATGGACCAGGCCACATAGGAAAGCTGAGTTCTTCATTTCTGATGATGCTGGAGGTCCAGCGGTTCATTCTGCGATTACCTGGAGTATAAGTCAGGCGTGGAATTCTGATGTGACCTTGGCCTTCCATTGCTGACCTCAGTGCCTTCCATCTGAAACATTTTCTTTCTGTCTTTTTTTGGTACTGGGAATCAAACTCATGACCCTGTGTTTGCTAGGCAGGCACTTGGGCCGCATGGCTCTGTCTCCAGCCCAGTGCCCCCCATCTCGGGACGTCTTCCCATTCCTCCCCCTGGCTCCTCCATGTCTTCAGTCACTGCCCCCTGCTGCTCCAGGCTGGATTTCAGGAGTCTGCCCCAGTTCTGTGGACCCTGGGTCTATTTCGTCTCACTACTCTGGCCTGATCAAAGCCCTCACAGCCAGCCTGGCCCAGGAGAGAGAGAGGCGGGAGTGCACTGTCATCTGGCTCTGGGTCCCTCTGCTGCAGTCCCCTGAGTGCATTCGTGCCGCACCCAGGGAGCTGCTGCTATCAGGAGGCAGCTGAAACTGCGATCAAACAGATGCACTTTTAACGTCAACCGTCAAACGTCAGCAGTCGATAGCTGTCACTTCTAAATGAAAGATTGAGAAGATAAAAATACTGCTCTTCATTCCTAAAAACCTTTCCCAAAGGCTCACCATACCTCCCTCTCTGTAAGCACTGAGCAGGACACCGGGGCACAGGGACTTCGAATCCCATGGCCAAGGGGCCACTGAGATCTGTGCCAGCTGTTTGCCCATCTGTCAGAAGTACACCAAGCAGGGGACTGGCCGGGCACGCTGGCCTCGTGTTTCTCTTTCCCGCCCTCAGAGGGTGGTGCAGAGCCTCCCACCCCTCACCTCTGCTGCATCCTCATTGTGAACCCAGACCCTTTCCCCCAGGTGCTGCTCACATGGTGGAGGCAGACGTGCTGCTCTCAAGCACTGGCACGGAATGCAGCCAGCCGGTCATGGCACACCCCCCGGATACCCACAGCGACAACACTCTGCAGGCCTGGCTGGCCGCACTGGTGCCTAGCAGCAAAGGCATCAAGCTGGACTTTAAGAGGTACGCGCACATGCAGCTGCCCGGTCCCATGTTAGAGAGGGACTGGTGCAGGACGGTGAGAGGCTGCATCAGCCATACCTGACTGCGGGTGGTACTTCATGGATCAGGAAAGCATTGTGAGCCTGGCATGGGGGTGCACGCCTGTGATCCCAGGCTCTGGAGGCTGAGGCAGGAGGATTGTTATGACTTCGAGACCAGCCTGGGCTACAGAGTGAGCTCAAGGCCAGCCTGAACTGCATACAGAGACCCTGTCTCAAAAAGACAAAAAAGATAAAAGGATTGTGGACTTAAAGTATTTTCCAAAATGGATTGAGGATGCACAGAGCTGTTTGCTAAAAATGTTTCTTGCAGCCTTTTGAGGCTAACGTGAGTTTTCTATGACAGCTTATTGGAGGCCAGGGACTTAGCCCAGTGGTGTAAGCACCTGTCTAGCAACAGTGAGGTCATGAGTTTGATCCCCAGTACCAAAAAAGGTGGAGGCTAGTGTCCCTATATCCCCTTCAAGGGCAGTGATCTATGGCAACTTATCCTTGGTGCTCATTGTGTTGACATTAAAACGCTTCTTTTGCTAAAAAGTTGCCAAGAAAGAGAGCTGGGAGAGTTTGAGACTGTGTTTGTAAAGACTTGTTCTCCAGTAGCCAGAGTGTCCTGAATGTTTTGGGGCAATGATAATGAAGAGCAAGGTGAGGTGTCATTCGGGTCACTGCGGCCATCCCAGGAAAGCTAGCTCTTGTCTCATTTGGCAGTGTAAAAGTTACAGGTGAAGCCAAGTGTAGCCTGTGACTCTGGGAAACCTCACCAAGAGCCCAAGGGTGCCACTGCCACTGAGCTCCAGGATGGGGGCCCTGCCCCATTTCGGAATTGTCTTTTCAAATTGAGTTGCTGCAAACAGTGTGCAAGGTCCTGGCACTCTTATAGGACTGAGAGAACAGGCCAGGTGCTGTGAGGCTAACTGTGCCTCTGCGGTGCGCACATGGGTACCCAGGATGCAGGGGTGGACAGGAGTAGGGTGTACAGTGCTGCATGAGCTTCAGAACTGGGGTTCTAGCCTGGCTTTGATACAGCACCAGTCCAGAAGCATCTGAGACAGAAATGGCAGCATCCGGGTCAGAGTGGGCAGGGCCAGGACCTAGTCCACCACGCTGCGCCTCCGTCGGGGCAGGAGAGGGAGGAAGACACCATGTGTGGGAGCTGGCAGCATGATCCACTTGCCTGGGAGAGGAAGACGGAGCCCAGAGGCTGTCCCGTCCCCAGGAGGTGGTCCCATGTCCTCTGCCCTCCGGAGGCTGTCTGTCTTAGTTGTGAATACTTCTAAAAGACAGAAGTACTCAGCTTAGAACTCCAGAAAGTAAAACTGTAAGTAGGGAGGTGACACGTAGAGTTTTGGGTACTGGGACCTTGGCCTAGGACCAGTCTCCTGCTCGGGGTACAGAGACAGAATATAGCACAGACAGGCTACGTTTGTTACTTACAAGGGGCTCCGGGATGCTTAAAGCCCAGTGATGGGCTAGGCACCGTGTCCCTGTCCTTCACTGGGTGCACAGTGTAATTGCAGGGTGTACAGGGGGCCACAGGAAGCAGTGGGGGTGAACTGTTGACATGGTCAAGGCTCAGGAATTGAGGAATGATACATTTTTGGGAAAGTACACAAGAGCAGGTCAGGGTTAACTGGTAACCTGACTGCTGGGTGAGTCCGGAGCTAAGCAGCATCTGTGGGTCCAGGCCGCAGCTGCCGGAGTACCTTGCTCTGTGGCGCCCAAACTTCACAGGCTGCGTGCTGGCCTCAGCTCTGGTCATTGGCTTAACCTGTCCTTGAGCTGGCCAGGAGTCTTGCCACAAGTCACATAGGCCTAGGACACACTCTGAGCTTATTTTTGTGCCAGTTTACTAATACTAATCACTGCCCACTCTGTACCATGTCCAGCTGGCCCTCAGCATTTGGAGACAGTTGTTTAAAAAGTAAAATCTATGTAGGCTGAATAAAACCTTGTTCAGATGTCTGTAACTACCAGCCAGAATATAAAAAAGGAAAGAAAAGGCAACGCAGTCACTTTTCAATTTTAAATAACTAAATATCCTCTGCTTTCCAAAAATGGTGCTTACAATAAAAGGAAAAGTGGAATTTATGAACGCTTTAAGGACATACGGTTTTATGCTCCACAGTTCTTTTCAGAAATGCGTTCCTGCCTCCAGACTCTCCCACACATACCCGAAGGGAAAGAGGGTCTCTCCGATAGGGTCTTGGCTGCATCAGCGATGTGGGTATGGGCACAGGGATTCCCTGGGGGTAACCACGAAGACCATCAGGGCTTGATTCGTAGTGCTCTCTGCGCGCTCTGAGGAGTGAGCATGCCTGTCTCTTCCAAATCCCCCCACACTCGGTGACCCTGACATGGACCCGTAGACCACTGTCTGGTCCCCAAGCAGTGGCATTTCCCCTCTACAGAGCCCAGCAGTCCTTTCCTGAGTAGGAAGTATAAGGCCGAATTTCACGGTGTGGAACAGCTTAGCTCTGCCCCCTGTGCTGTGGGATCTGGGTTGCGTGGGGTTCAGGTACCACTGCATCGTATTTGTGTGGTGAACGTGAGAACCTAAGCTGTGAAGACTTCTGTTGTGCTGCACCCCACTGACCGTGCGCTGTGCCCCAGCCTGGCTGCAGTAGAGCCCGCCATGACCCTCTTGGACACGGTGAGAGGTGGCCTGCGGCGGCCCGTGTGGATCAACGCCGACATCCTCCCTGGTCCTGGTGGAAGCAGCAATGTCGTGGACGCAAAGGCCTTTATAGACTCCGTGACATCGGTCTTCCCAGCAGTGACGCTGTCCCTGGGCTGGACAACAGGCTGGCATCCCGAGAAGGTCAATGAAGGTGATGGTTCTAATCTCGATTCCATCATTAGTCAGATTAAAATAGCCTCCAAGTGGGCGTGTGGTACATATATGTAATCCCAGCACTTTGGGAGGCTGAGGTGGGAGGACTGTTGCAAGTTTGAGATCAGCCTGGGCTATATAGTGAGCTCAAGGCCAGTCTGAACTGCATAGTGAGGTCCTGTCTCAAAAAGACAAAAAATAAAATAAAAAATAAAATAGCCTTCAGTTATAAAAATAATGCCTTTACACAAAGCCAAAGCACATTTACCAGCATCGCAGCTTCTACCAGTGTGTGCTTGGCCTCTTGGCCTTCCTTACTTAGCTATGGTGGACACTGCTCAGGGTGACCTGTGTCACTAACGCTGCGCGAATGTCTGGTCCATCCAGAGCCGATCTCTTTGAGCTTGTCCCATTCCGGGCTGGCTGTCCCCCTGTGGTGGAGGAAGAGAAGTTTCTAAGCTGACCTGCAGGCTGAGGGGCTCATGTGCTGCCCTGGACATCAGATCCTCTCTGGCCACGCGGGGCGGCGCGCAGCGGGCTCAGGTCCCTCTTTCACCACTCCCCCCCCAAACCTCCCACCCCATGGGCCCCACTGCCGCTGCCTGCTGAAACCTCACCCTGCCCTCTGCTGCTCCACGCGACCCTAGCAGCAACCTCCACGGCCGCAGCCAGAAGTCAGCTAGACAGGCGTCCAGGGGCTGGGGGGGGGGGGGGTGCCAGCTTCCACCTGTGGTGTCAGGCTTTCACTCTTTGAGCACTCGATGTCAACGTTTGCATACTTCTGCAGTCCAAGTTTGCAGCCCACGGTGCACATGTGCCGAACTCCCCCCCACACTGCACCCAGACCCCCGACTTTTGGTCCCCTGCCTGTTTCTAGAAAATCTTTCCTGTCTCCTGTTGCACACTTGTTGTCTCTCATGATTCTTTTTTGCCACGCCAGTGGGGGACCCCAAGCCTTACACGTAAGTGGCAGGAATCTCCGCCAAGTCCTCCTGGCCCCAAGTGTCATAATAGCGTCGGCCCAGGACCACTGAGCGGTGTGGTTATTAAGGCTGCAGCCCCGCAGACCAGGACCGAATGGGCCCGCAAGAAGCAGCGGACTCCACCATAACCATCCTGGAATTCAGCTTTGCGGTCCTTTCCTTCAGATGCGTAGCATCCGGCTCAAAGCCAGGACCGTGCAGGAGAACGCGCCCAGCGCTTGTGCAATGACCCTGCCCCTTGGTCACCATGGGGCTTGGTCTTGGACTTGACTCGCCCTGGTCATCAGCAGCGCGGGCTTTCCCCCTCACTTCTCACTCTGCAGACTTCATAGACTTAGAGTCGTGGAGGTACAGCTCCTGTGAGCAATCGCTTCTTCTAACAACAGAGATTCTGTTTCCTGAATTTTAAAGCAAGGAGAATTCCTATTTATCAAGCTACCATGTCCACTTAGAGTTTTTGTAAACGTTCCTTACCTCCCCCTACTTTGCAGCCTAACTTTGGATAAAGTTTAGGGTGATTTTAATTCTGTTTCCGACGCAGTTCATAAGTAGGCAAAGTAAAATGCATAAGTAATTTGGACCAGCCTAAAGAAAACCGAAGTTAATTATCCCACACACAACTAGTAAATATCTAGCAGCCTCCTTTTCTTGGAAAAGAAAATTCACTTAACATAACTTGTCTCTGTTTCTAAAGAATATTAGGGTCAGATGTGTGCACACCTGTCATCCCAGTACTCTGGGAGGCTGAGGCAGGAAGATAACAAGCTCAAGCCCAGCCTGGGCAGCTTAGAGACTTAGTGAGATCCTGTGTCAAAATACAAAGTAAAGAAAGGATTGAGATGTAGCGCAGTACATGGGACCTGATTTCGTCCTTTAGTACTGCTAATGAGTAAATAAATGAATAAAACAAAAACAATAGTAATGACCCAGTTGTATCTAAAAGACAAACCTTAGAATATTTAATGTAAATAAAAAGTGCCAAATGTATGTCTGCTCTGGAGGGATTGGAGGGATTTGTGTTCTGGAGACCAAGCCCTAGGCTTCGTGTCTGCTCAGCTTTTGCTGAGCCACTGAGCACCTCTCCAACACCCAACAGGGCACTTTTCCCCTGCTGTTGTTACTTTTTGAGACAGGCTTTCACTGTGAGGTCCAGGAAGGCCTTGAACTGGTGATCCTGGGCATGTACTTTTATTTTTATTTTTTACAATCAGATTTTATTGGTACATTTTAGGTATATATAATGATCACATTCATCATAGAGAATTTATATATGTACATGATATAACCTGATTCTTTTTTTCCCCATTCTCCTGCCTTCCCTTCAATCCCTCCTCCCTCCCCACTTATAAAAGCTTTGTTTCCGTTTTTACTTTTCCTTTCTTTCCTTTTCCCCTCCCTCCCTCCCTAGATTTTTAATTGACATTTTTCACTCAAACTATTTTCTTGCCTTTAGTGATCTTTTAATTCACCCTGAATCCAAATGGAAATTGTTATGAGTTGTCAAAAATTTCCCTCTATCTGTAGATTTACCTATTCATAGGTGATTGAGTTTTTAAATTGATTTTCAAGAGTCCAATCAGAAACTTCACTTTTTTCCTTCTCCTTCCAGGGTACAGCTGGGCCATGGTGAGAGAGATGGAATCCATATGTGGTGGACTGACTCAGCCTGTGACCTTCCCTGTCCGGGCGGTGCTGGTTAGACAGTCCTGTCCCCAGTTACTCTGGCTACTAAAGCAATCAGACAGGTATGCATTGGTCTCACAGCTAGCATGCCCGTGTGCACTTGAGAGCTAGTGTGTGCAGCAGAAGGGACAGAGCCGGAAGGAATGGCCTGTGTGCATGAGGCACAGCACCTAGCTGAACCTGCACTGATTCAAAGCTGTGTCTTCCACCCGATTTTGCACAGAACCTTTTGCACATTGAAAACGCGTAGTAAGTGTCCTCTGTTACGGTTGCCTTCCCCTACCAAAACATCTTGTGACCATAGGTCGAGCTTTTCCAAGGTGACAGGATCTAGAGTATGTGATGCTGGGATTGATTCATGGTGCAATTGTAGGACTCAGGGCTCTAGGATTAAGGCATGAGTACTACCCTGGAAAAAATATGAGGGGCAGAAAGAGGCTTGTTGCTGGTCACTTGGACTTTGTGCTTGCTGTTTTTGCCATGTTATGCCTCCTGTGAGCTGTTTCTCCTCTCTGATCCTCTTTCTGCCCTGCCACTGTGCCTTGGAGCCAGCCAACTATGAACTGAAACCTCTACAGACTGTGTGCTAAATGCCTTTCCTGTCTTAACTTTGAGTGTCAGCTGTTTCATCTCAGTAATGAGAAAAGTAACTAAGAATTTGGTACCAGGAGTGGAGTTGTTGCTGTGACTGTGCCTGACTATGTGGCTCAAGAACATTTGGAACTGGCTATGGAAAGTACTTGGAAAAACTTGGAGATGCTAGCCAAAAAAGCAGTCCTGTAATACCTGAGGCTACACTTGATAGAGATTCTGGTCAGAGCTCAGAAGACCAGAAGGCTGATAGGAATACTGCTGGTAAACACCAGGCTCAGCAGGTTTCTGTTGGGAAGAAGGACTTCATTGGCTGTTGGATTCTGGAACATATGTCTTGTACCTTGGCTGAAAATATGTCTGCATTTTACTTGTATCCAGAGACTTTGCCTGCGTCTGAGATTAAGGGTAGTGGACTAGTTAATCTTGCAGAAGAAATTTCAAGATAGTCTAATGTGGAGACCATGGCATGGCTGCTGTCATGTGCTTTTAGCCAGATCTATGTTGAGAATCAAGAACAAATAGCCCAGGAGGATCATTTAAAATATTTTGAGTTTGGCCAGAGAGAAAGCACCATAAAGTTGTGGCCTGCAAGATGAAACATGAGAAATAGGTTATGCTTCAACTGAGACACTGTCTTAGACAGCATTGTCTTGTGAGTAATATAAGCTGCAGGGTAGAAGGTTTAGTGTGATGCCGTTTGCCTGTGTATATGAGAGTGGCACAGTAGCAGTGAGTTAAACTGAATCATTTGCACCCGTGGATGTCATATGCTTGAAGAGAAATCGCAGATGTCACTGTCCTAGCCTGGCTCTTGGCTATAGTGCAGACAGCTGCAACCCATCCTGCCTAGAAAGAACTGCCTCAACCCTGGGGACCATCATTTACACAGCGTCCTGCGATCCAATAGACAGTCTCCTGTTGCAGACATACACATTTTTATTAACACTGCCTCCACTTTTGTTTATTTTCATTAGTGTTGGAGAGCTGCGCTGCGATGCTACGTTAATATTTTTATGATCATTGAAATTAAAGCTTTAAATAAATTAAAATTTTAAATTCCCTTAGAGAACTGTGGAACCTTGAGAATTCATCCTCACAGCCCCATTGGAGAGACCCACCCAGTGCTGCTGGCCTTGGTTTCCATGGCAACAGGACAACATGGAAGGACTGTGGCTGTGTGGGTGGGGATGCAGAGCCAAGGCTGGAGTCCAGCCGTGTCAAGAGAGGGCTGGGGTGCAGCTCAGCTTGCCTACCATGTGCAGAGCCCTGGGTTCAATCCCCAGCATCCCCCCAAAATGGTGATAATATTAATACTAAGGAAGAGGAGAGATGTGATTTTCAAATGGTCACGGTGGAACTTTGGACTAACAGAGCTCTGTCACTGTAATTGCTTGTAGAATCATTTTCTTCTAGTTTCTAATTCTGCAGTGTGATTATATTCCTATAACACTATAGGGGAAAAACTATAAATCCTTGTCATCTTTGTAGTCTTTTTTTTTTTTTTTGTCTTTTTCCTTTTTATCGGTACCAGGGATCGAACTCACGACTGCACACTTGCAAGGCAGGCACTTATGCCGCTGAGCTAAATCCCCAGCCCCATTTTTGTGGTCTTAAGGAGGCTTATTCTCTGTGAGATAGGAAGAAATAGTGAACTCTTTTTCCTAATAGTAGGGCAAAGGTACTGAGCCGTTCAATCACATAGGCTGACGTTTGTGGTTCACACTGTAGAATTGGGAGTGAGATTCCATGCAGAGGATTGCGGTGAGAATTACCTCTGTGGGGCCCCAGCGTTGTAATCTTATTCCAGATAGTGACTGCTTGTTGTCTGATGGTTTTGCGACTGCATGAGGCGCACAGCCGTGTTGAGCACACACCCCGGGACCCTCACTGTCTAGCACGTCACTGGAGTTTAGTGGATACTATTGAGGGGAAACAGCTGCACGCAGGCTCCTTTGCACCATAGCAGGCGCCAGAGCCCTGCAGCTTTGGGGGGGGGGCATTATGCCAGGAATTATGCACAGGATGGCCTAAGCATCTTGCTTTTCCAGGACCGTGAAGGTGACCTACTCGGCCTTTGTGCTCCACGTGGAAGCAGTGGGAACCGCCCTGCTGGTCAGAGCCAGGCAGCCTAGCAGTCCAGCCCCTGACAGCGCGTCCGCTCTGCCGAGACGTGGACACTGCTTCTCTTTTTAGTCTAGATCGGGCAAGCACGGTCCTCCTTTCACACTACTGCTGTGCCTGGAGTTACCTGTGCATGCCGACGCCTTCTGGCTCAAGCAGGCACCTAGCTAAAGCTGAGTTCCCAGTCTCACTTCCTTACCTGGGAAATATAAGCGAAACAACAATAACAGAATTCACGCATTTAATTACCAGCGAACTGAAAGGCAGAGGGAGAGTCACTCTGAATGGCAGTGACTGTGCTTTGTGATTGGATTTTGTTGTATTTTGTTTACAGTGGTATTTTATTCCCTTCACTTTATCTTATCCTTCGTGAACCTACTAAGTTTCTTGTTTGTGGGTATCTTGAGGCTTACATAAAACAACTTAGCAACATCACAGCCGGTTTTAAGCTGGCATGAAACTTCATTCCCATATTAAAAACTGTGTTTTTAACCCCCACACACATTTCCTTCATATCACAGCCTGTGTGTTTCCATGTCATACACACAGTAACGCTATTTAGTAGGTGTGTTTTAATGCCAGTTTTTGACATTGTACAAGTGAAAAGCTTTCTGCATCTTCATTCTGTCTCCACAGCCCTGACTGTGTAACAGTGTTCCAGACACTACTGGATGCTGACCTGTCCCAGGCAGGTTTACACTTTCACATGTTCATGTTGCGTTTAACATCTTCGCATTTCAACGTAAAGCATTCTCTTTAGTGCTTCTTACACAGCTGCTTAGTGGTGATGAACTGCCGTGCCTTTGTCTGAGAAAACTTATTTTTACCTTCATTTCTGAGGGACAGCTCTGCTGGTGTATTGTCTTGCTTGGCAGGCTTTGTGTTTCAGCATCACACATTTATCGTCCCACTTCACTGGCCTGCAGGGTTCTCCTGGGAAACCCACAGGCAGCTCATGTAGTTCCTTATGTGTTGACAAGGTGGTTTTTGTCTTGTTGCTTTCAAAGGTATTTATCTTTGATTTTTTGATAATTTTTTTTTTGTCTTTTTTGAGACGGGATCTCACTATGCACTTCAAGCTGGCCTCAAGTTCACTGTGTAGCCCAGGCTGGTCTCAAACTCGCAACGATCCTCCCACCTCAGCCTCCCGAGTGCTGGGATTACAGACATGAGCCACCACCCCTGGCTGACTTTTTGATAATTTGGTTATCATATGTTTCCATGTAATCTTATTTGGGTTGATTGTATTTGAAGATCTTTGTGCTTCCTGAATCTGAATGCCCAGATCTCTCTCTCTCAAAAAAAAAAAAAAAAAAAAAAAAAAAAAATCTACGAAGTTTCGCCATTATTTGTTAACTTCTGTGTCCCTTCCCTTCTCTGTCTTGGAATCTGTAATGCGTGTGTTGGTTTGCTTCAGGACGGCACTTTTCTGGACTTATTCATGCTCTTTAATTTTTTTCTTCTTTTCTTTTCTGAGTGAATAATTTCACGCAACTTGTTTTTGAAGTCATGACAGTTTCTCTTCTGCTTGATTGCCTCTACTACTGAAGCCCTCTATTATATTTTATATCATTCATGGTATTCATTTCTAAGATTTCTGTGTGGTTCTGATTCCATGGTATGCATCTCCTTGTTGATCTTCTCATTTTATGTTCCTTTGTATGTCCGTTCACATGTCCTCCTGATTTCATTGTCTGTGGTCACTTAGAGTTTGCAGGTCTTCTTTTTTTTTTTTTTTTTTTTTTTTGTCTTTTTCATTTTTATCGGTACCGGGGATTGAACTCACGACCGCCTGCTTGCAAGGCAGGTGCTTATGCCACTGAGCTAAACCCCCAGCCCCTTGCAGGTCTTCTTTGGCCAGGCATCTTGTATGCTCCCATTTCTCCCAGATTGGGTTCCTTCAGTAGCATCGTATTTCCTTGATGTTTTGTGTTCCTGGAGGTCTTCTAAACTGTCTTCACATTTGTAGGAGTAGTTGCCTCCTTCATTTCCTTGGAGGCAGGCAGTGCATGCGAAGTGGGCCGACTTGAGGCTCAGATATGTTCCTGCCTTCCCCGGGATGCACTCTCTATCCTCCTCCTCCTCCTCCCGCTTTTATACTATCTCCTATGCCTGGAGAGCCTGGCTGGGTGCAGAGAGCCTCCCCCTTATTGTGCTGGTGTGGCACTCTGAGAGTCGTGTTCCCCAACCCAGCAAAGTCACACCAGCTGTCTGCGTGTGTCCATGCTGATGTGCAGTGGTCACCTTTAGGGAGGTGCACAGGACACAGGTGAAGAGCCCAAACCTGTTGCACAGCTCTGCGCTTCTGAGACTCACACAGCAGTGGTGGGGTTACTGGGAGGTATGGGACTGTGGCGTGGAAATCAGGTGTCAGTGCTGAAGACTCGCACGTGTTGTTTTTCTATCTGCAGAAAAGGATGTAACTGTTTTTGGTTTTTGTTGTTAGTGGTGTTTCTAGGCTTTCTCACTTCTCACACAAAACATGCCCCAGGGAACAGCAGGGCCACCACATGTCGGGGTGAGGGGGTCACTGATGCACATCTGCGTCTCTTCAGCCTCCTCCACCAAGAGTTTCCAAACTCTAGCCCCAGGACTGGGGAGCCCAGGTCTAGCCGCCCTTCTCCAGCTGTGCGATTCCAGGATGAGCAATCTCTTCACCTCCTCCCCTAGATCCGACCCGGTTGTGGTGCCACCTCTGGTTCTGAAGGCCACTCCCTCCTAGAGAGCAATGAGGCGTTGAGGCCGTAGCTCTGGATATTTTTTGCCTTTAGTCTCTCTGGTGAGGAAAAAGCAATGAACTAGGAAAGGATGGTCACACCATGACTAGCCACATTCTCACCCAGGTACCTTCAGTGTGGAGACAGAGAGTATTTTAGGCTTGGGGGGCTGTGCCTTGTTGTTTCCAAACTCTCACTTTTTAACTACACAGTTCTGTTCCGTTTGATTACAGGTACAGCCTGACTGTTTGGACTGGGAAGGATGATAACTATTCCACTGCAGACTTACTGTACATTAGGGACTACTTTGATAAAAAGAAAGTTTTCTATGACATTTTGGAACCACAAAACCGTGAATTTAAACAAGCCATTGGAATCACAGTTAATCTCTAAGAAGATTCCTCTGAACTGTTTCCTGCTTTGGTTTTATAACCCTCTCTGCCTTGGCCTGAATGGATTGCACATTGGTTTATGCCCAGTTCATCCAGTGAGGAAATGGACATCACATACTTCCTGTTAGATGTCAGCCCTCCTGAAGCAGAGCTGACCAGGAGGACCCTGAGAAGGGCTTGAGAGGCTGAGTCTAGCCCGCTCCTCAGTGGGGTCAGTGTCGTCTGTCCTGCCCAGCGTAGCCTACCAAGGCTTCTGGGCTTCCATGAAGTCCTGAGATGTGAAATTTCTCGCATCGAATAATCGGTTTTGTGTGGCTAGGAAACCTGCAGTTCTGAATTCAGACTCCTTTCAGCCCTTCCTCACCATAGGCCTGGGAATATCTCCAGTACCGTAACTGCAGCTCACTTACCAGAAAGGCCTGGTGGTGAGAACTCACTTTTGGACTGGTTGTGAGGGCTGCATCCAGGACACACGATAGTGACATCCGTTTGCGGGCCTGCATGTTGGCTGACATGGGTAGTTCCTTCTGGATAAGTGCCAGGATTGCAGATAATCGCTCCAGCAGTGACAACACAAAGCCTTGTTGCCCCTGAAAATCCGCCTGGCGTTGAGTGGAGAATGCTTGTTAGATACCACCTAAAGCTGTTTTCTGTGGTTGTTTGCCAGAGACCGAAGGGTAATTTTATCTTAGAAAAACCTTTCAACAACTGCCATAAAAATAAATGTGAGGAGGTAGCAGGCCCGAGGCAGCCCAGGCTTGCTCCACAGAGCCAGTTTCTCCCGTATGCTTCACTTTTACTTTTTCAAAGAAACTTTGCCACTGCCTTAAAAAAAAAAAAAAAAAAAGACTTCTGGGAAAAGGGTAGAGCAGTGAGCAGCACAGAGAGCACCTCCCCAAGTCTGGTGTCCAGAGCCTGGACTGCAGCAATATAGGAAGGGAAGGAGGAGAGAGGTAGATCCCGTGGGCACAGGAAGGATCAGAGCTGAGCGTGAAGCCCATGGAGAGAGAGAATTCAGGAATCAAGCAAAAAAAACCAGGGGCGGTGGCCCTGCCTGGGGGGAGAAGCAGCAGGAACCCCCGCCCCCACCAATAAGCAGGTGGCCCCAGCACAGGCTGAGATGCTGGTAAATGAAGCAGGCAAGCAACCTGACTTGTGTGTGTTGTTTGACTGACTTTGTAAGAGGGCAGTAGTCTGAGCAGATATTTAGAGGATATTCAATATTCAACATAGTAACAACTGTGGATTTCCCACTGTCCTATCACTGTTGTTTTTCATGTCACTATTCTGTTTTATTCTCTTTAAAATAAAAAATTTAAAAACAATTTTAAAACTATAGTAAACATACTTGTACATTTTCTACAATGACTATATATTACTTCCATAAAATGACTTCAGTTAATAAATAAATTGCATTTCAATGAAATTTTAAATCAAATTTGTCCAGAATAAATTGTTATTCTACTCTTTTTTTTTAATTTTGGTGGTACCAGGGATTGAACTCATGACTTCACACTCACTAGGCAGGCGCTTATGCCACTGAGCTAAATCCCCAGCCCTTATTATACTCTTGATATTTTTAAAATATTCATATTGTTTGTTTGGTTGGTTGAGACAGGGTCTCTCTATGTAATTCAGGGTGGCCCTGAACTCACAGTGATCCTCTTGCCTCGGCATACCAAGTGCTGGGATTACAGGTGTTGCTTGGCTTAAATATTCATATGTTGAATATTAATTTTATGGTGTAAATTTTTATGTTGAGAAATCTATGAGCTGAATATGACTTAGATTCAGATAAAAGTATTTTAAACAAGTCTCTGGGGTAAAAACATTTAAGAACTGTAAGATGTATTCCGTTGAGGAGTAAATGTTTAACAGCTATCCATATGGGGACGTAACCTTGATCTTGCTTCACACCACTCACAAATAATTCATGATGTATCTGAAGGCCTGAACATGAAAGTTAGAACTGTAAAGCATTTAGAAAAAAAGAAGAGGCTTTCCTGAATTGGTAGTAGGCTAAAGTTTTCTATAACCTGGAAGGTGCTAACCAGATAAGAAAAATATTGGTGAATGAACTTTACCACAAATTTAAAGTTTTTCTCAGAAGACACCAGCGATACATATCTGATAAATTTCTCATATTTAGAACATGTGAAGAACACATGGACGCTTAAGAAAGAAAAAAAAACCTAATGAAAAGTCAGGAAAGACTTGAACAGATGCTTCATCTAGGAAGACGTGGAAATGGATAAAAGAACGTGTGAGGCAGCAGCACTGTTCGCCCGGGCAGGGCAGCAGACACCCGAAGTGAGCAGCGCGCGGGCGCCGCCGGCGGAGAGGCTGCTGCTGAAAGGACCAACACCACTTCGGGGTGGGGAGGCAAAGCACCCAGTCCCGGGACCTCTGTTCCCTGGGTGCGCCCTACCGTCAGGAGAAAGGAGCTCTTGTGTTCACATTAACAGCTTTGAACAAGGATGTTCTTAGCAGCTGTGGTCTTCCCTGAACACTGAAGCGACTGAATTCCATCCACAAGAAAAGCGCTAAGGGATGGTGGAATCCCACAGTGAGCTCTCTGCACAGAGGCGAAGGTGTCTGCGCTGCTGACTGCTTCGGGAGGGTGGAGACACGCCCTGGATCCTGTCCTCTGAGTACTTGTTTTGATGAGTGCATAGGCAAAAGAAAAACATGGGGTTGTACACTGGACTGTGTAAGTTATACTCTCAGTTTTCAGTAATGCTTTAAAGGCCTTGGTGCATCAAACTGCAGACACAGAAGAGCCTACTTTACCACTGTGGAAAGAGTTAAAAGTATCGTTGCTCCCTGTTAAAACCAAAGAGCATGAGCTGGGTGTGGTGACTCAACACCTGTAATTTTAGCACTTGGGAGGCTGAGGCTGGAGGATGACCATGAGTTTGAGGCCAGCCTGGGCTACACTACAGAGCAACACCGTGTCTCAAAAATCCAAAGTAAATAAATAATAGCTGGCCAGATGGACAGCACCCTTCTCTTCTCTCTCCTCCCTAAAAAAAGGAAATGCATCACAGAACCCTGCCGTTGCTGTGCAGCCCCAGCGGTTGCACAGGCAGACAGCCTTTGGAAAGTGTGCAGAGGAAGTTAGTAAATGTAGGGTAAAGCACCACCTCAGGGGACTCCATAGGCTCCAAATGCTTCCCCGAGATTGGCATGGAGCCCAGCCCTGGAGGAGACTTGACTGCTGGACAGCTCAGAGCTTTTCAGAACCGAGAACCTTTGGAGCTGGAGCCACACTGCTGCTCAGCAGCCTGAGGCGCACTGCTTGTGCAGTGGGGAAGTATTAAAGTGACTGGGAACAGCGCCCTGGCTTCCTGTTTGTTGGGACTGGGGTGGTGCTTCTGCAGGTTGTTTGGTCTTTCTCCCTATAGTGTCCTGGCCCATCAGTCCCCTGGTTCTTTAAGATGCAGCCTCCCGAGGATGCTTAGAGCCCATACACTTGACCTACTGTGAGAAAAGCAGTCGACCACGATGACATGGAGCTAAAGATGCACTTCTGTAGGACACGGGAGGACGATGAGTGAGTGGCTAGATGATGGCCAGGCCTGGGGCTGGCGGATTCAGGGGTGGGAGCTCGGGGTCCAGCGTCCTGTGGCCCATACCTGTCACCTTCCCTGCTGCCCCTCCCCTGGTGATGCCCACACGCTGTGACCCAGGCAGCGGTCCCCCTGGGAGGTCCCACGCCAGGTACCAGGCCAACTCCTCTTTCAGAAGTGGCCACTGAGATCTGAAGTGCTGCGCTGCACATCTGCAGGCTGCTGGGACAGAATGACACACGGGATCCAGGCAGGGCCCACTGAGCTGTACCCCCTCGGAGGCTGGGATTCCTGAATGGGGAAGGGACCTGCGGATGGAGGTGAGCCAGGGGCCAGCACTGCACCCTCTTCTCCCCTAACCTGCACACCCATCTCTGGGTAAGAGAAGAAGAGGTCCTCGGGCTGTGCTGATAAGAGAAGAGTTCTTAGCCATTGCTCCTAGAGTCAGGAAAGTGATTGCATTGGCTGGGGAAGCTGTGTGGAACCTTGAGAGCCGGAACCTGAAGGCTGAAGGCCGCAGTGAGGGCAGTAGTGAGGCTCAGGAGATAGAGAGAGGTTACAGAGGAAGAAAGAACAGGTCACACAGGGAGCGGGGGACAGGGAGTTTAGTACTTTTAGCTCAGGAAGGAAAGAAAGGGATAGAAGCAGGGAAGGGAGGGGAGGAGGAGAGAAGGAAGAAGATAGGTACCCAACACCCACAGCTCAGAGCAGGGGAACTTCCCTTGGCCTGAGTTGTCGTCCAGAGTGGGCTGTTCCATGGCCGAGGGGAAGGGTCTGGTGGAGGACAGTGGCTCTCCTCATGGCACACAGGAAGCAGAAGGTTAATGGAGGGGCCAGGGCAGGCCCTGGACCCTGGCTCTCCACACTAAGACAACATCAGGCTGTTATCATCCTGTCGCTTTCCACCAGTGCTAAGCCCGTGGGGCAGTAGGGATGTCCAGGTGTAAACTGCAGCCTGCCAGTGCATCAGGAGACCCATGACTGTGGGAGACAGCGCTCTCCTGTCATGGGAGGGGACAGGGGACAGGGAGCCTAGGACAGGCAGAGGAGGCCCACGCCAGCAGGGCAGGCCAACTCGGGATGCTGTCCAGATGTTCCGAGTGGTCCTGGGGGAAGGGGCTTTCACCATGGTCCAGGAGCCCCATGAGGGCTGGGGAGCTGGGTGTACAGGTGGAAGGCGTTCCCTTGGGCGAGGGCCTGTGTCTAGGACCAGTTCTCCAGGAGGAGGCTGTCTTTCCAGGGTCCTAGGCCCCAGGCGGCAAAGCATCAGAAAATGCAGAGATTTTAAAACTGCCTAGTGATTCTCTCCACACCGACTGGTTTGTTCTCTTTTAAGCAAACTGCATGGGAGTCAGAGCAGTCAGAGCATTTCATCAGAGTGAAGGCGGCTGCACAACCTGAGGTTTCCAAGAGTTCTGGTCCTCAATGCCCGGTCGGTGTGTCCCCGACAAGGACAGCACTGTATAGGTGTTGGCAGCTTCTCAGCATCCCTGGGGCAGGCGATGCCAACCCTGTCCCCTACCTGGGGTGGCCACAAAGGGACCCCTGCCTGGAGCCAGCTGTAGCTGTGCTTTTGGAAGTCCTCATCCAGAGTAACTGAGAATGGTACCAGACCTTTAGGTAAAACTCCTATTCTACATGAAGTTAAAGTGTAACTTGAAATATATTCCACAGGCACACACCTGCGTCTCGCGTCGGGCACTTACGTAGATTCCCTAAGGATGGCTGCGTCCAGCTGCAGCTTCTGACCCCTAAAATATTCTTAGGGTCTCCAGCAGGTTCAAATGCTTTCCAAGTTTTAATTCACCTAAAATTTATTTCCCATGTTGGGATGAAGATCATTTGCTAGTTCTTCAAAGAAATGTGTGGCACAACTGTTCTTGAAATAGTGCTGAAGTATTGTTAGAGCTTGGGATAATAAAATCCAGCAATGATCAGTGTGATATTTTAAAGCTTTATTGATACCATTTTGTTTACAAACTAAAGCTATTTATATATTCTTCCAAACTGTGTCTTTACAACCTAAAGTCCAGCACTTTTTAAAAATGTATTTATTTTTTTTTTTTTGGCTTTTTTGAGGCAGGGTCTCACTGTGTAGCCCAGGCTGGCCTTTTACTCACAGCAATCGTCCTGCCTCAACTTCCCAAGTGCTGGGATTACAGGCATGCACCACCACGCCCAGCTATCAGCACTTTTCTAAGTAGAAGCATTGAGCCATTTACAGGCATCTAGTACAATTTTAAATTCTGGATAAAATAAAATTGTAGTGTAATTAATATTTGCTTCAAAACACAAAATGGAAATCTCCAAATACTTTTAACAAATAAAAGCCACAAGTAATTAATTACTCTGTACACTGCAACTTGTTTATATCAAATCACCAAGAAAAGCATCATGCCAAGTGTTAGGATTTTCTCTACTTACAAAAGGCAAAGAAATCAATCTGTAAATAACAATCATTAGATTGGGACACTCAGCTTTTGTATAGTTTGATTATTCTTTGTTTTAGCACTGATAGATTAAAACGAGGATTACTGGCATAAACAGCATACTTTGAAGTCACGGGTAACAATCACTTTTCAAGTGTTTTACAATAGAAGTTGTTAGAAGTTATTCATAAATCCTAAAATACTGGATGACTGGAATGTCACACTCAGGTGTTACCCTTATTGTATGAGTTCTAATACCTACCAGAAATGATATAATATAGACCAAATATTTGCTCTATTTTGTGATTTTCTACTGTCTTTTGTAACTAGCTAACCTAAACTAATCTAATAATCAGGTTGTTTTACTGAAGCAAGCATTTAGTTTCTCTTTGTGATAAACCCCAAACTTTTTTTGTTTGGGCGCTTTGCTTTCTTTCTTTTTTATTTGTTGTTTCTTTTTGGAAGACAAGAATAAGCAAATTGGAATGCCTTTTAAATTTTGTATTGTTACTAGAAACCTATAATAAGCTTCCAGTTACAATAATAGGAATTAAAAGATACAGAGGAAGAATAACTCCAAAAAATAACCACCTTAGCAGGGATGTTTAAAAAATAAAGCAAAGCAAACAACGTGGCTCAGTGTGGATGACAGTAGCTTGCCACTCTGCCCAGCTGAGGGCTTCACTTTAGGTTTCACCTGCTGCAGTTAATATTTGGAAAGAATAAATTATCTCCAACACAGTTGACCTTTCTTTGCTGAGTTTTGTTTAAATGAAAAACTTGGACCACATGAAGGCTGATAATATTGGTGGTTTTCTAAAAATAGCTTTCGTTTGGTTTGAGAGAATTCTCTTAGCAGAAACAGTATTATTTGTATATTCACAATGCCTGATACCAAACACATCCAGCCTTGGCCTACTGTTCACGAGGGACTCACCAGCGCTGTGACTAACGGGACACACCTGTGAGCCTCCTTCCTGGGCGCCCTGGCCCTCTGCTGTGCCCTCCCACCCTCTCAGAAGTTCACTAATTGCCTAATCTGCTCGGTTTGCAAGGACTGTCTCCTTAGCAGCATTTTCTTGCTTCTGAATTCCTTAGGGAAGAGAGGAGCGGTTGGCACCAGCACCTTTTGACCACAAGCCAGAAGGCTGCAGAGCCGGGGACTGGTGCCGTCACAGCCAGGAGGGTGGGGACTCGCCTGGAGGGGTGGCAGGAACCCTGGCCGGGTCTGCAGGAGGCTGTGCTCCAGAGGGAAGGTGCCAGACCCTCGCCTCTCCAGAGCCCCATGGCCCCGCCGGCCCAGGGGACCTGGTGGGGCGCTGTCTGGTGCATCCTTGGGCCCTGACAGCAGTGATGGAGACAGGGAGAGGACCTTCTTCTTCCCGGGAAGAGCTTTGCTGTCTTCCAAGGCCGAAAGCTGGGAGTCGGAGCTGTAGTGATTGGCCCCTGAGTTTCGCTTCTGCACGATGCTCCCCAGGGTGGATGAGTCGGCCAGGGGGCTAGGGTCTGCGTCCTGGGCCTCAGGGCTCTTTGGGCACCCCTGGGGAGGGCTGTCATCAAAGGATGCCTTCCTGCAGTCAGCCTGCTCCCAGGCATGGAGCAGCTGGGCCGTGTCCTTCACATCCAGGCTCTGGTGCCTGCTCATGAAGCGCCTGGAGAGGACCGGGGCCCGGCCACAGGGCTCCTCCTCTACGGCCGCCTCCAGCAGCTCCTCCTGCAGCGAGGCCACTCTGGGCTGGTGCTTCAGGGATGGAGGGCTCCTGCCCCAGGCTGCAGCCAGAGCCAGGTTGGGGCCACCAGGGGCCAGAGTTGGCTTCCCCACAGGGGAGCCCGGGTCCCAGGCATCCTCGGGGCTCCCTGGGGGCTCCTGATCTCTGGAGCCCAAAGCCATTCCTTCTGTCCCCGAAGCCTGGGCCAGCGAGGCAGAGGCCGCCGCGCTGACGTCTATTTCCGAGGGTGAGGTGCAGGCAGGCCGGGGCGGTGTGTTCAGGTACTGCCTGGCCCTGTGCCGCCCGGATGGGGACTTGGCCGTCGTGATGATGATGACCTCTTTGCCGCGGGCCTGGCAGGCACTCAGGAGGACTTGGAGGGTGTCCCTGTCCTCGGCATGGATGGCATGCACCAGGGCAGAGCATCCCTCATGGTCCTGCAGGCTGGGGTCCGCCCCGCTGTCCAGCAGCAGGGCAGCCACGGCGGGCCCCGCGCGCCCCAGGCAGGCATGCATGAGAGCCGTCCTGCCCAACTTGTCCTGGATGTTGGGGTCGGCCTTGTTCTCCAGCAGGTACCGCACCATGCGGGCCTTGCTGGCACCCTGGCTGTCCGGGTGCCAGCTCCTGCAGGCCACCATCAGGGGCGTCTCCCCACGCTCATTGCTCTCGTTGATGTAGGCACCGCCCTCCAGTAGCAGCCGCGTGAGCCGCAGCCGGCCCTGGTGCACAGCCTTGGTCAGGGAGTGGCCCTCAGCGGGCGCCTCAGCCACATCATCCATGGTCCAGGCTCAGGCAGCGGCTCCAGTGCTGGGGACAGGGACAGCGTGGTCAGTAGGATCAGCAGGGGCACCAGCCCTGCTCGCGGTCATCCTATGGCTTACAGCTCTGAAACAGGCACAAAGGACAGGGGTGGGACCTCAGGATTCAGAGCATGGCAGCAAACTGCAGAACAGTGGAAATCACAGACTGAGAATGACCTTTAGGGTATCACAAACTCCAGTGGATTTTCAAAATCTGCCTTCATAAGATTTTTTTTTTTTTGAGACAGGATCTCACCATGCAGCTCAGGCTGGCCTTGAACTCACTTTGTAACCCAGGCTGGTCTTGAACTCGAAAGGATCCTTCCGCCTCAGCCTCCTGAGAGCTAGAGTTACAGGCATACACCACTACACCCAGCTAGAGTTTTAAAAAATTTTTCATTTACATATATATATTTTTTGACTATTTACATATATATATATATATATATATTTTTTTTTTTTTCCTCTCTATGCAATCCAGGCTGGCCTTGAAGTTGTTTTGCACTTGATCTGAGCTAAGAGGATGAGAAGTGATTTGAACTCACAGTACAGCTCAGGTTGGCCTCTCACTCATGGCAGTCTTCCTGCCTCAGCCTTTGAGTGTCAGGATTACAGACATGTGCCACCATGCCTGGCTTTACTTTTTTTATTTTTAGTAGCACATGTGTGCAGCATGCAGTGATTCCATTCCTCGTGGGGAGGGGAGCTGGCACATGGACATTGGAGATCTCAGTCCCTTTTATGTCCCCGTCCTTTGCAGTCTTCCCCTCAAAATCCTTGTGTAAACCCCACAGAGTACTTTGCTAAATTTCACATGAAACAACAATCCACTTCCTTTGTACTATTTATAAATATTTTATAAGTGAGTAATATTTTAGATCTATATATATTTTGAGAGTTGCCAGGAGTGGAACTCAGGACCTAAGAACTGCCTAAGAACTTTCCTGTGAAATCACTGGACTCTGCTCTTTGGCTGGCCAATTTAAGGGCCGGTTCCAGCCTCACACTGACGCACTCTGTGGTCCCCTCAAGGTTAAGTGAGTGCGTGGTCCCCCACAGCCCGGCGCTCAGGCTGAGGCAGGCTGAGCCCCAGTGCCAACGCCCACACAGCTGCTCCCAGAGAAACGGAAGGTGCCGCCCAGGATTCGGGAGAATTTTAATATTCAATGTCGAGATTATAAAGATTCACATTTCATTTATTTAAATAGTTGAGTCTCAAAGGCTCCCTGTGGGTCATTTCCTTTGGGGTGATCATTACACCTGCATTGAGGGCTGAGGGACATTTTGTCTTCTCACAGTCTTGTGGAAAAATCAAGTAGGCGTCAGAAAATGTTTAAATCTAATTTCGTTGGTAAGGATTTTTGTTTTTGTTTTTTAGAAACTGCAACACATAAATTACTTTTAAAATGAAGACCGTGAGACTAGATTTCTACCTGAAAAGAAAGTGATCACCCTTTATTAAGAGCTAATTGCCTCCTAAGGCGAGGGGAGGGAAGGGGAGCAGAGCAGGAAGAAGGTGAAGACCCACGCACGGTCGCCTGGGACCAGAGGGCACACGGGTGGCACAGGATGCCAGGACCGGCTGAGGCCAGCACAGCAAAGCAGCAGGCTCAGAAAGGGTGGCAGGGGCAGTTGGGCAGAAGACCCAGGGCAGGGAGAGCAGGGACACTGGGCTGCCCCTGGATCACCACAGCAGAGCAGGCTCTGCACCATCTGACCAGGCCCAGGGCAGGGTCACTGTGGACGGCTGGAGCCATGACATGGTGGCAGAACCTGTGCTTCTCTTGTGCACCTTCTGGAGAAATTTAGGTATTTTTAACAAACTCACAAAGCTGGTGGGCAAAGGTGCAGGCCAACAGCACCACCTGGAAGATGGCAAGCAGGTGCGCAGGAAGGCAGGGACCATGCCCTCTACAGAGGCCGAGGCCAGGAGGGTGCTCAAAGTGGAGAAGAAGGAGGGGCAGGTGGAGAGCTGAGGGAAGCAGGTGGTGACCCAGGTTCCAGCTACCCCGGCCCAAGAGCAGAAAGCTTGCCACGGACACAGCAAGAGCCGGCCGTCAGCTAGGGCCCCTTCCCAGAGCACAGCCAGGACTTTGTGCTCTGAAGCCGAGGGTCCGCGGGTCCCAGACCGGAGACAGTGAGTGCATGCTTGAGAGCAGGAGAGGAGAGCAACAAACCTGTGACTGCTGACCCTGCCGTGAGTCACACCACATGCCACAACCCAGGTCACCACAGCTCCTAACAGGAGTCACTTGTGTCCTCCGAAGATGTGCCCCCCACAGGGCACATCTCAGGCATCTGCCACCCCATGTATCCACAACCTGGTGGGCCCACAGCAGGGCTTGGGCCAACATCAGCTTTGCAGCTGAAAGCAAAAAACGAAACAGAGCTTCTCACACTGGAGACAGAGACCAGAACACAGGAAAAAGAGACGGGAGAGGCAGGTACTCGGTGGGAAAATGGAGAAGGCCATCATCCGTGACACTTCAAGAGTAAGAAGACGCTTTAACGAGGCTGTGAGGTCTCATGCACAAGAAATAGAGAACACAGAAAGGTAACCATGTGTTACACATCCGAAAAGCTCACCCGAGGGAGAGGTGACCATGCTGATGTAGCCGCTCACACTGCCCAGCAGCACAATGGAGTTACCAGGGGCCCAGGGACCCCAGCATCCACACCAGCAAAGGTCCAGCAGGGAGAACAGCGTGGTCCGGGGAGGAGTGACCACGAGTGGAACGACAGAGGACATCCTGGCCTGGGAAAGCAGGCACCCACACGGTGCAGACTGAACCTCGACACCCGCTGCCCACATCCAGGACAAACGATGGAGTCCACGGTCAGGGCCGCAGGACAGAGGGCAAGAGGCGTGGTGAGGACTGTGGGTCGGCACACCTCACCCCGCCCCTGGTTGCCGATTCTCTGTTTTCTACCCGCCACTCGTGCTCCATCCTCTCTCCCAAGTGGCTTCAGTGGCACTGCCATGGCCACCTTGCTGGCCTGCATCTGTTCAAAATGCACCATTCTGCGAGGCCACTGTGACTCTGGAGAGCCAGAAGGCGCGGCAGCGCCCCAGTCCCAGGCTGAGGTAGGCGATGAGGACAGCGTCACCTGCTGAGCTGCCTTTCCTTGGACGGCCTTGGCAGCCACAGTCACTGTGTTTTTGATCACACCTGATACAATGCTAGGAGGGGGCTCCAGAGCTCCTACAGAGGGTCGAGAGGTCGGGGGGCTGTGAGTGTGGAAGCGAGGGAAGATCTTAAGGGGATTCACGGCACTGTCTTTCACTGTAATAGTGAACTAAATGTCCCTGTGTGTGTCCACTGCACTTCACAGTGCCAACACTTCCCTTCCTCCACCTGGTTGTGAGGTGACACACGCCCGTTAACCCCAGAGCCCTGGAGTCTGAGGCAGGAGGATCGCTGCAAGGGTGAGGCCAGCCTGAACTGCATGGCAAGACCTTGTCTCATCAGGCAGAGGCCTACGCGCTCTCCTTCTGTGTAATTTAGCTTCCTCGATGCCACCCATACCCACACTTTAGCCTGGAGTTGCCTGTGCATTCCTGAAAGATGGAATTCCACAAAACAGACTTCTTCCTGTCCAGTCTGTGTCCCATGTGACACTAGGCAGAGCACAAGCACTCAGCAAACCTGCGCGTGAACAGAAGCTCAAGCCCGCGGACTCCTGCACCCCGACTTGCAGGTCCACGCTGAAAGCAGAGCATCTTCAAGGAGCCCGCGTGAGCCCACAAACCCGGTAATGTTCTTCAGGGGCAAAGGCATCTGGGGAGCAAAGTAACCCGGAGCCACACCAAACATGGAAACCACTGCGCCATGACCCCAAAACACCCCCCAAAACACCACCACGGGAGCGCTCACGAAACAGCACAAGCGCTGAGCAAACACAGCGCCAGAGAGGGACTCCACACAGGAAGGAGACCCAAGGCCCAGAGTAAGGGTTATGCTGTCTGGTGCTTTCTACTATTCATGTAACTTGTGTTTTGTTTTATCTTTTTGGGCTTTGCTTTTTGGCTACTGGAGATTGAGCCCAGGGCCTTTGCACTTTGATATATCTCCAGCCCTCTTTGGATTTATCTTTTATTTTGCGACAGGGTCTTACAAAGTCACCAAATAGCCTAGACTGGGCCTGAACTTGGGATCCCCTGCCTCCACCTCCCAGAATGCCAGGATTCCAGGCTTGGGAAGACTTTAGCTTCTTAGCCATCTTCATGAAAGGACTCTCTGCCACCAGCCTCAGCACCTCTGTCACCAGCAGCTCCTCCGGGGGCTGTGCCCCTGAGGGGCAGGCACCTTTCCCGGGAGGCCAAGGAGTGGCCAGCAAAATGCAGCTCCAGAGGCCGTGCTTCTTCATGACAACGCCCTTTTCTTAAGAGACAGGGTCTCACTGTGTGGTCCAGGCTGGCCTTGAGCTCTGGAACTCAAGAGATCCTCTTGCCTCAGCCTTCCGAGGCTAAGGCTACCGGCAGCCACCCCTTGCCTGGCTCGCGAAGCTGCCGGCTGTGCTCGCATCTCGGCATTTAGCGGGTGGTTTGGGCACTGCTCGAACATCAGATTTCCCGCAAAAAGGTCACCAGCTGCCATCCTGTGCACTCGCACCACAGGGTTGGTTCCCAGCTTCTTGTCATCGGCTTCCTGGATTAACCCTTCAGCCACCCTGGGCAGCTCTTTGCTCTGCCTTGTGTGTTGATTGTACTCCACAGTGCAGAAGGGTGAGCCGCCTTCCTTCATTTTCAAAGCCAAATATGCTCTAGGTGAAAGCCACTGGTGTCTGGAATACTCTTCCCTACCCTCTCATTTTTTTTTTTTTTAAACTTTGCTTTGTAGCCCAGGCTGACCTCAAACTCAGAGATCCTCCTGCCTCAGCCTCCTTGTCCTGGGGTTACAGGCGGTGTGCACCACTGCTGGGTCCTGGCATCACTGTCTCCCCTCTACTCCTCTGCTGTAACCCTGGGCTCAGCCACTCTCTGGTCAGGCCCACTGCCCACACAGACAGCAGCTCCCCTGGGCAGAGCTCAGGGTCAGGTGGAGCCAGGCTCCCACCCCATCTCACTGTGTGCCCGGTCCCGGCTCAGAGTCCTCACCAAGGCATGAGAGTCTCTCGCAGTCCCTCCGAGTGGCTGTGGAAAGGACCCGGTGATGCTACACGACCTTCCTGTGGTCCTCCCCGCCCTTCCTCCAGAAGCATTCATCTCAGGATTAAGCCTTTTCTTTTAGCAAATCGAGTCTGGCTGGATGTGGTGCCACACACCTGAAATCCCAGGACTCAGAGGCTGAGGCAGGAGGGTCACCTGGATTTCAAGGTCAGCTTGGGCTCCCTAGTGAGATCCTGTCTCAAAAAAAAAAAAAAAAAAAAAAAAAAAAAGACCAAAAAAGAAAAACAGTGTCTCTAACGCACAGCCTGTTAAATAACAGCCAAAACGTTGCGCGTGGTGTTCAGACTTTGGTGCTTGGTGAGCACAAATGGGCTCCAGGAAATGAAAGCCAGGAAGAGCACCGCCTTTTCACGCATTTCCTCATAATCTCCAGGTACCATCATTGCTGCATGGTGGCACTGCCTATTATGAGGTGAGAGCATCTTCCCACCCCTTGCACGCCTGTCACCCCGGCTACCGAGTGGCTGAGGCAGGAGCAGCACAAGTTTGAGGGCAGCCTAGGGCAACTTAGTGAGACCCTATCTCAGAATTTAAAAGTGTTGAGAGTGCACCCCGAGCCCCCTGTGTTCAGACTGCAGGACCAGGAAGGTGGGGAAAGCTAGGCGTGGAGAGGGGCCTGGAATCCCAGTACGCCGGGAGGCTAAGGCAGGAGGATTGCAGGTTTAAGCCAAGCCTAGGCAAGCAATTTAGCAGTTTAGCAAGACTCTGTCTCAAGGAAAGGTGGGGGATTCTGGATGGAGCTCAGTGGGCCCAAGCGCCAGTACCACAAATAACAATAAAAACCTCTTGATGAATGATGGGTCCCAAACCCTCACACACTCACCCCCTGACCCCTCAGAGGGAAGCAGAAAGTGCCTGGTAGTCACCTCTCGCTCTACCCCGATGGGCTCTGTTGGCCCCTAAGGAAGGAAATCAAAGCTGTGCAGGGTCACATAACTGCCGTGGGGGTCAGCAATTTGAATTCCCTGTAGAGAAACCCCTACCGCGTGTGCTAAGTTTGTCACGCCTCAGCCAGTCAGAGCTTATAAAAGCGCTCTCTGCAGGGCAGAGCCAGCAGTGTTTGTGGGGCTGAGGCCCCACAGTAGGAGGCTCCAGGCAGCCCCCTCCCCCCCAGTCCACCTGGCCACTCCTGGAGGGACAGCCAGAGGCACAGAGGGACCACACAAACCACAGTGAAGCCACAGGCCACGACTCCCCTCAGAGGCCACCCCATGTGAAAACACAGATCCCACAGTCCTCGCCACTTCTGCAGCAGCTGCGGAGTCCTCTCTCTTGTGTCTTTACCAGGTATGATAAAAAAAACATGGTGAATGCTGCCACAGAGGGCTGTCCAACAGAAAGGCAGCTCCTAAAACAGGACGCTGTGTCCTGGTTCACTTTATTCACTGGATCCAGAACCTTGCAACTTCTGTCTCCTTCCCAAAGTCAAACTGACCAGGAAAGGGAAAGATCCTGAGTAGAACCCAGATGTCAAGGCAGCTCAGGAAAAGGACTCCAGAGCTGCTGCAGAGAGTGGCAAAGATGACAGGATGGGTGCGTTTGAAGCAGGGGGAGGATTTTGAGGGGATATATGGCAACGTGTCTCTTCCTGTAGTAGACTGTGTGTGTGTGGGTCCTGGGAATGGAACTCAGAGCCTCACACTTACCAGGCAGGTGCTGCACCACTGAACTATATCCCCCACCCCGCGGTAGATTTTAAAATGTAAAAATTCACCATATTTCCCACCACATTTCTGCATCCTCCGTCCTAGCAGCCCCTGCCCTGGGGAGCAGCTTAGGTGGAAGGGATCTGTCTGCGACACCTGGCCCAAGTGGCTCCCACCGGTGGAGTTGGCCAAGGTTCCTGAAAGCCATCCTGCAGCTGTTTCTAACCCTCCCTCCTGGGTGAAGCAGTCACCCTCTCCTGCCTGCCCTCTCCTGCCATGCGGCTCCATACTGCCAGCCAGGGAGCTGTCTGGGTGCAGGGTGCCAGACCAGAGGTGCAGCTGCTCAGAGGCTTGGGGACCCTGCATGCTCTGGGCCCGCCTTACCCACCTGTGGGCCCTGTGCTCAGCCTCTTCCTCCAGGTGGTGTGGACAGTCTCCCCCCGACAGTGGGTGGCTCTGAGGATGCAGCTTCTGAGCAGTTCCCTGTCTGCGGAGCTCACCACACCAGTCACCAAGCACAGGAACCCGAGCTGAGGCTTTGGGCCAGGGGTTCTCGCCCTTGCACTGGCACCAGGGTCACAGGGCCTGGCTGGGGACATGGCTCAGTGGCAGGGGCTTCCCTGGCCTGCATAGGGCCCAAAGGTTCCCATACAGCACCGCTGCCGATAGCCAGCAGCAGGTCACCCTGTCACACTGGGGACCACGCGGGGACCCTGCTTCTCCAGTCCCGGGCTCCTGCTTGCTGCCCGCCCTGGTCCCATGGAGCTGTGGGCTACCTCACTACCTGCGTGGACCAAGGGCAGAGATGCTGCCACAGCCAGGGAAGGGCAGGGCCGCGGGGCTAAAGGAGGCTTCCACCCGAGGCAGCCAGGCCAGGACGGGTCTCCCCTGTGGCAAGCACCGGCCAAGGCAGGGGCAGAACCCCAGCTGTCCTAGAAGAGCGACCACCCCGCGGTCTGCCGAGAAGCAGCCGGGCGATTCTTGTGCACTCAGGGGCACTCTCCCCAGCCCTGCCAGCTGCTCTGGCGCTCCCGGGGTCCCAGCGCGCAGGAGAGGGGAGCCGGCACCGACCTGCGCCTCCTTGGCCGGGCAGTCCAGGGCTCCGGGCGGTAAGGCTGTTGCTGGCGTGCAGTGGTCGCTGCCTCGGCCTCGTTCTTCCCAAGCACGCCAGCCTGAGGTGCTGCAGAGAAGGGCAGAGGAAGGTGACGTGCAGGGATGGGACGGCTGGTGATGAAGGGCAGGGAAGGTGATAATGACAGGTGACCGGCGCAGTGGCACGGGCGAGGGGGGGCTGCGCCTCTTGGGAGGCCGAGGCGGGAAGGTCTCCACTGGGGTCCCGAGGACTCGGCATCCTCCGTCCCCTCCACCACCCGGGCTGTCACCGCGCCGCTGCTTCTCCCGCGGTGGCCGCGAGCGGCCTGATCACCCTGGCCTGCGCCCCGCCGGCAGAGGACAGCGAGGGACAGAAGAGGAAGGGACCGCGGCGCCCCGCACCCTCCTGCCCCCGAGCCCTGTCCTCGATGCGGCGAGACCCCAGCGACACCGGTGCGGATCTCGGGGAGCACCGCAGGCGGCGCAGCCTGGGAGCCCCGTGGCCCTGGGACCTACCAGTCCCCACCTCCCGTTCCAGGGCCCCCGCCCCCCGCAGAGCCTGCATAGCCTCACCTGGACCAGCACCGCGCCTGGCTGGACCAGAGCTGGGGCTGCAGCTACTCTGGGGACTGGAGGGGGCCCGAGCTCCACCCACGCCACTGGCCACGCCCTCGGCCACGCCCCCGCGCCGGAGAGGCCCCACCTGTGCCGTTCTGTGGGTCCGCGCGCGTGTGCCTTGCGTGCGCGTGTGTGGGGGCGTGTATGCGGCAGGCTCACGCATATGTGTGTGCAGGACTGTGCTTGTGGGTGTGTGTATGTGTGCATTGTGTACAGGTGCATATATGCATGCATGGGTGTGTATGCGTGTGTGCATCTATAAATGCTTGCACATGTGTATGTGTGAATGTATGTGCTATGCATGTGTGTATGCGTGGATGTGTATGTGTGTGTGCCTGCCTAGCTCACATGGCCCTCCTGGTCATAGGCCCCCATGCATGGCCCCTTCCCATCCCTGGGGCCCTTATGCTCAGCCCCAGCTGGGGTGGGTGGAGCAGCTGTCCTGGCTGTGTTCCCCCAGGTTCACAGGTTCTTCTGCTGTGGCTGTGAGGAAAGCCCCGTGTGGCACCAACAGAACCCACCAAACGCTCCCTATGCTACCCACTGTGTGGTGGAAAAGCAAGAGGAACAGGGGCTTATGCTCTGCTCATACTGGTATCTCAGGGAGGGTCCAATGGAGACAAAATCACTTTCTCCCTTATTAGTGACCTGGGGAGTAAGCCAGGGCCTTTGACTGAGCAATGTCTCCAGCCCTCTTCATCTATTTTGAAATAGGGTCTCACTGCATTGCTAAGTTGCCCAGGCTGAACTTGAACTTGTGGTTCTCCTGCTTGGCCTCCCAGGCTGCTGGGATCACAAGTGTGCGCCACACTCGTGGCCTCTTTTCTAGCTTCCAGCAGCGATTTGCACCCCTCCAAGGCGGCTACCCCTCCACCTGAGATCTTCCCTGCTCCCCAGCCCTCCCTGCTCCCCATGCCCCAGGCTGTGAGCACCTCTCCCCCACAGGCTCTCAGCTGTGCCTCCTGCCTTGGAACCAGCAATCATGGGCTGAAATCTCCCTTTTAGTCTCAAGGGTCAGGTGTTTTGTCACAGTGAGGAGAAAAGTGGGTAAGACAAGATTACGCCTAGTCCTGGTCTGGAGTTAGTCCAGCGAGCACCCCTTGGAAGGAGGTAATGTAAATGTTACTGTCCCCACTTCACCAAGGTGACTGCTGGACTCCCCAAACCTCTTTTATTCCCTGAGGAGCTCCAAGACCAGAGCCAGGCACAGGTAGGGCCGCAGCGCTGCTCCTGTACCCACCCTGGCTTGGAGGTGCTTGGGAGGGGAAGCCGTGTAGCTGCAGAAACAGGGCCAAGTGGTCTGTGAAGCCCAGTGACACAGTGGACACAGTGGCAAGTACAGTGAGGCAGTCTGGTGTGCATGGCTCCTGCCCTCACAGTTTTCTGCCTTAGAAGTGACATCTGTTTTAATCACAGCAGATGTTTGTCCTTGATGAGCACCTTCCCCGGAAGACCTTCCGCCACCTTCTGTCTTCTGCAGTAAACTGCAGGTTCCGGTCTGCAATGGGAGCTGCTCAGCCCCTCCTCAGTGGTGATCTCTGGGACAGTTTATTTCCCATGGATCTTACTCAACTCAAAGCTCAGGCTGGAGCAGGGATGTATACTGGATAGGCCGTCACCAGTTCAAAATCCCGTGGCTATCAGAGTCATCCTTAGTACGATTTTATTAAAGGAAATGGAATCCTAAGCTTGCAGAGGAGACATTTAATTAACTAATCAATTCATTAATTTTTGGTACTAAGGATCGAACTCACAACCTCACACTTGCCAAGCAGGTGCTGTGCCATTGAGCTGTCTCCGCGGCCGAGACAGGACAGTTCAAAACTCCTAGCCGGAATCTCTACAGGGCTTGGGGAGCACTGTGCGCTTGGAGTCCGGGCTTATGGTGAACAGAAAGCTAAGCGCTGTGTCACCGGTGCTAGTGGTGTCCATGGGTACAGTGGTGAGCGCTGAAGTGCCCTCTCGATTGGGGGAAGACACTGATTTTGCTCTGTGATGAGAAAGTCGGACAATCACAAGTGCTGGCCAGTGAGAGCCCTTAGCTCCGTGCTGAGAATGTGAGCAGACACAGCGGCTTTGAAAAGTGTCTTTGCTGCTCCTTGGCAGCTTGGACACGGAGGTGCCATATGAGCCTTGGACAAATACTCTTTTTGGGGGAAATTTCACCATGTAGTTCAAGCTGCCCTTGAAGTTACTATGTGGCCCAGGCTGGCCTGGAACTCATGGTAATCCTCCTGCTTCAGCCTTTCAATTGCTGGGATTACAGGTCTGCACCACCATACCCAGCCTGGACAAGTAGTTTTAGAAACCAATAAAATGAAAATAACCAATTAAATCATACCTAAGGAGTACAGAGTCTAGTCCGTTATGGATGGTATAGATTTTATTAAATTTTGGCAAAAATTCTTCCAGTTCTGACAGCTCTATCTAAGCAAATGTTGCTCCAAAAATTACTTCTTTTTGTATTTTATTACTCTCATATCTGAAGGAGGTACTTTGTTCTCTGCCTGAAGAGGTGGAATCGGGTACATTTTGTACCATATCCGTAGTGATCTGTAATTATACACTGTCATTCAGACTCTACTTGACTTCCCAGAGCTTAAAGTGCCTCTGCATTTTTTTCTTCCTAGTGCTAGATGAAGCACGCCAGGTCTCACAAACCCATGTCAGGGAGTCAAAAGAGTAAACTAAAGCTGCTATCTTGTCCTCAGGGCCAATGATGGTAAAGAGAAAAGAATGGAATTTAAGTTTTTAAAATTTGAAAACCAATATAATGATATTAGGAAAAATTCTGAATGAGCAAAAAATCGTTAATAGAAACATACTATCAAAACATTTTAAGTTCATGGGTTGGCCATTTGATATTTTTCTCTTAATTATATAGCATTGGTGAAATGTATTGAAGCGTCCTTTACCAGGGGGATTTCTTTGTTTGTTCTGGGATGTTCAGGCTAGTCTTGGATTTCTCATTGGCACCAAGCTGGCCTGGAACTCATGGCAATCCTCCTGCCTCAGCTTCCTGGGTACTAGGATTACAGGCTGCACTGCCACACTGGCTTCCCCAGGAAACCTCCAGGAAATAATGTAGAGACTTTGCTGGTCCTGGTGGTTTTCCAGCTTCCATGCAGTCCCTCGTGTGAGTGTAAACGCCTCGTTGCTCAAATTCAGGCATTGCCCTGTGATGGTACCCGGAGCATTCAAGGGAGCAACGGGCAGGAGCAGAATCCAGGCCCTTATAAGAAAAGTGTCACTCGGTGCCAGCAAACCCCACAGGCCATCCAGGGGAGGACACGGTCCCAGCCTCAGGAATTAGGGAGGGCGGTTCTGTGCCTGTAACAGGGCTCTGACCTGCAGCCTCCAGCGGAGTGCAAGGAGTGTGACCAGACACAATGGCCTGTGGGTCACCAGGCGCCTCCGGCCAGGAGTCTAGTGGCTTTGCAGACCACGGCCTCAGGAGTCCTGCCCGCGTCCAGTGCTCTGAGCACTTCCCTGTCCCGGAGCCTCTCGCTGAGCCTGACCTGCATCGTGCAGGGAAGATCTCGCTGTGTTTCACAGTTGTGGCGCAACCCCGAGGCACTGCATCAGACTCACTTTCTCCGCTTTCTTTATCTTCAGGGTAAAAATATTTTAAGTATATTTTTGCTGTGCTTTCAGTGGTAGGTCCTTGTTGGTCATTAGTTTGTTCCGGTTTGGGTTTTCCCAGACAGGGTCTCACTATGTAGATCAGCCAGGCCTCAAGCCCACGATCCTCCTGTTTCAGCCTCCTAAATGCTGTGATTACAAGCATGTGCCAAGATGCCTGGTGAGCATGAGACCTTTTGTTATGAATGTTTTGGCTTTATGATTCTAGAAATTTTTCGTCTCTCTTTAATAATTTGTTTTTATTTCCTCTATGCTAATTTTGGGGTCTCTAATTTTTAGCATGCTAATCTTCTTAACCCACTTGTGTTATGACCTTTCCTATAAATTTGTTGCTCATTCTATTTTTGGTAAGATTTCCTTACGTTTATCTTTCAGTTTCATGAGTGATTTTTAAAAATTACTAACTATATTTTTTAATTTGCAAGGCTTTCTTTTTTTGCTTATTTATTTATTTTTTTGAGACAGAGTCCTAACTGTATAGAGTAGCTGCCCTTGAACAGGCATAGCCAGGCTGGCTTTGAGCTCACTTCGATCCTCCTGCCTCAGCCTTCCAAGTGCTGGGATTACACATCTGTGCCATTATGTCTGGCACAACTTTCTTGGTATCTGAATTCTTTTTTCATCCTCTTCTCTTACAGATCTAAAATTGGGTTTTTTTGTGTGTTTAAAGTTATTAGTAAGATCATATTACATACTTATCTCTTTTCATCACACCGAGTTCCAAATTTTCTAGTGGAAGAAAGTCTTCCTGGTTTCAAGCATCCAGTCTGTGGCTGATTGGCTCCATGCAGGTCCCTAGCTTGGTCTCGAAGCCCCACTGCATGGAGGCCTCAGTGTGAAGAGAGCTGGGGTGGGTCACTCCTTGCTCCTAGTTGCCAGTGGCTCCAGTCAGCAGGACCAGGTGTGGTCACTGCTGAGAGGCATAGAACACAGTCCGCCTGGGGACACTATCCCTGGGTGGAGGCTTGGAGGCCTGCATGGATTCCTGGGTGGCCAGCACCAGCCCAATGGTGCTGCCCCAGGCCGCCCTGTCCTGTCCCAGTGCTGGATGCCCATGGACAGCTCTCTTCCTCCCCGACCCTTTCTTGCCAGACAGCACCCTCTGTCGCAGTCCCCAGGCTGCCGGCCCGCCGAGCCCTGTCTCCCTGCCCTCTCACCTGTCCTCCAGGTCATGCGTTTTACTTTCCTTCACCACAGCCCAAATCAGGCTCTTGGGGCAGTGTGACTGGGGGCTTGGGAGCCAGGGCTGTGATGATCCTTGGGCCAAGTGGAAAGCCCAGCTCTACAGCCGGGGCTCCGGGGCTCCCTCTAGCATGTCCTGCAACAAGCATTGGAGGCCCAGCCCACATACCCGCCTCCGGCTGGACTGGTGGACTGGCATGGTCCTTGGAGGATTGGTCAGCTCATCCTGTCAGACAAAAAGCTTTTGGATCATGCATAATCCTCAGCTTCCTTCACTGAGTGCCC